GCCAGCAGTGGAGCCGTGGCTGTGGACTGCGGCTATGCGCACTTAGCTTTCCGCACTGGAGATGGACAGGCTCACGTCTACGCATCCTTGGGCCCACGGTTGCGTGTCACATGCGTCATGTCACGTAGGTTTACGCCCTCGGTGCCAACGACCGTGGCCAGCTGGGAAATGGCTCCGCCCACGACTCCAAGATCCCAGTGCCTTGGGCAAATCTTCGTGCTAGTTTGGCACTCGCTTGCGTGGTTTTCTCGTGAACGCATGGAGCTCGAACTTTCGATGTCAGCATGGCTTACGGGGGTGCTATGGGCTTGTTTCGTTTTCTTCGTTGGCCTCGGTCAATCTACTGCATCATGCTACGGCTTACGGCTGTGTAGCCGACTGTGCCGGCAGTGCTTCCAATTGCTCCAAGTTGACATGAAACTGCTTCCTTGGTTGGGAACCTTTTAATCGGCCTACCGCTACTTGTGAAGGCTGTGCAAACCCCACCTAGCTCCTGCTTCTGAGGGCGGGAACAAGCATACAAACAAAGAGTGCAGCTTCCTCGTAGGTGGAGAGCAGGCTACAGTTGCATTCCTTGGCGTGAACGGCCCCTCACGGTGTGGAAGGTACAGGTGGAGATAGCAGCCGTCAGCCCCTCACCGGTGACTGTGCTGGCCTGTGGCTACGCCCACACCGTCGCACTAACTGAAGCAGGCGGGGAACCTGAAAGCTCATTTCACGCCTTGCCAGATTTATGCTGAGGGTCAATGCGCCACCACATGTGTGGGAGTCAAATATGTTAAAAGCTCATTCGGAAAGACTAGGTAGGTACCATCCATATGTTACGAGAAACCAGGACCTTAGAAACCCATGGTGGGTTCCCCAGGTGAAGTGCTGACATGGGGCGCCAACGATCTCGGCCAGCTGGGAGATGTCTCTTGATGACCAGGGGTTGGACTAGATGTGTCACCGACTTGAGTAACGAAAAATAGCTTTCTGTGCAGTTCACAGACCTGAAATGTCCGCAGAACCCTGCTTGCAGCACGTGAAGAGACCTTCGCCGAGGCAAGTGCTGAAGACCGCAGGGTTCCTCAGCGAATCTTCCAACAGGTGCTCTGCCGCAGACTTCGATGAAGTTGGGGGGACTTTTGGGGTCCTTGGGGCCTCTTTGGGGGGCCTCTTTGGGGGGCTTCTTTGTCATGTCTTTGGGGCCTCTTTGGGGGGGCTTCTGTCATGCCATGTCATGCCTGAAGCTCCTGGCAGAACGACTGCGTGGGGGTCGCTGCCGGCTGGCATCACACTGCATGCTGGGATTGTGAGCGAGGCGGGGTGTCCAGGGCATGGACGAGTATGTAGAGTATGATGAGTATGTGAGGAATGCGTCCTCTGCTCCAGGTGAGGTCTGGGTATGGGGCAACAACCTCCTCGGGCAGGTGGGCGATGGAACGAAGGACCCTCGCAGGAAGCACTGCCAAGAATTGTGAAGGGTTCCTCTGCCATCCTGAATCGGGCTTAGCAGCTAGCAAAACCCTGGACGGCCTAAACCTTCTGGCCTGCAGAACGCGCCTCCCACCATGCTTGAAAGGAGTGTGCACTGGCTCCACACCGTGTTCTCCGCCAGTATCCACTGGTGATGCACCCCTCACGCCTTGCAGCTTAGCTGCATTTCTGCCCCCGAGTCGAGTGCTTCGAGAAGGATGAACATTGTGTGCGGGACAAAGGCAGACAAGCCCTCGCAATAATGACACGCTTCAAAGGAGTGTGCCAAGTTGCCACTCGTCCCAGCGGAAATCATGCAATCGACGTCATGACGTCATGCATCAAGTGCGGGACCTTGTGCGGGATGGTAAGTCTTTGCTTGCCTTCTGCAAGCCCGTCAGCAGCAGCAGCAGCAGCAGCAGCAGCAGCAGCAGCAGCAGCAGCAGCAGCAGCAGCAGCAGCAGCAGCAGCAGCAGCAGCAGCAGCAGCAGCAGCAGCAGCAGCAGCAGCAGCAGCAGCAGCAGCAGCAGCATGCCAGCACGAGGCCCAAAAATGACCACAGGGACATCTTGGTTTCTTGTGGCCGAGGCTGTGAGTTTTTTGCAGCTGCTCGAGTTTCAGGGCAAAGTGCAGGAGGAGTCCAGGACACGGGGCTCGAGAAAGGGGTAACGTGGAGCGAAAGTGCAAGAAGCTGTTGAAGCGCCTTGGAGCAAACGCTCTCTCTCTCTCTCTCTCCCATCTCTTTCGCTCGCACTCGATCTGTTTTTGCGTCCATGTCCTGGAAGGATCACTTATCCGGTGATGACGGTGCGCCACACGGCAGCACTTCGACTTGTCCGGACTCACGTTTGAAACAGCAGATGCTCAACGAAACAAAGAAAGGCGAGTTGGGGTGCGGAGCTGCGGATCTGAGGCGAGGTTGTCCACCAAGTTGTCAGCCCGGCACGTCCCCAAGGACAACAATGCCACACAAATGCCATAGAATCAGGCGGAAAAATCATGATTTTCACATCCATGTATTACATTATCTCAGCGCATCTCAGGCAACAGTAACCCAGCCCAATCTGGGCTACTCTCGCCTGTTGAATTCCGATCGACCACTGTGCCCTGGTGTCTTTGGTGCCTTCTGAAGATCCATGTTTAAATGCACTCAAAGCACGGCCGCCCGGCTTGTGAGTCCTTGGTAAGTTGTGCTTTCAGGTTGGGTGAGGCCTTCATCTCTCACAGCTGGGACGGGCCGTTTGTGGCATTTGTAGAGGCGATTGTCGAGGCTGGGGCAGATTCTCCTTGTACTAGTGGGAGTTGAATGGTGCATTCATTGAGAGGGTTCTTGGTCGTTACAGTTCGGCTGTCAGGTCTTCTCACCGTGGCAAAAGCCTCCGAACTTGTGGATTTCATTTCTGGCAGCTTGGCCTTGGAAAAGCGGCCCCCGTGTTTGGCATGCGCTGACGTTGATCGCAGTGCAGCCTCCTGAGGCGTTGTCCGTGCACGCCCTGGTGCCTCTGCGCTTCCGCGCGTCGCCGCCAGAGGCTCCCTGGGCCCTGGCGCTCCGGCGGGCGAAGACTGCAGCGCGGCAGAAGATTAAGATGGTCTTTGACTCTTTCCAACGAGCCACGATCTGCGAACTGCGTTGTTTGATGAGCTTCTGCACAGAGAACACTTCTCTTTTTGTGAGGTCCTCCTTGTTCGGAACCACAGGCGAGGAATGACTCACACAGATGGGGAGCCGCCCTCTTTAACGTCTTTCCGCATTGTTCATCATCTCTCTCTCCGTGCACAGTCGGGTTATACGAGAACGCGAAGGGATTACGCCGATGTCCGCAGGTGCGACGTCTACAAGCGGCTCTGGTGCGTGTCTTGAAAGCAGTTGGATGCGTTCCCATAATCCGAAAGCCAGGAAAGCCACCAAAGCCAGGAATACCGTTCGGCTACATGTTGCAGCCTGCTGAGATCAGGTCTTTGAGCTCTATGTGGCCTCCAGCCCCTTGGATGCCTGTGCACGTTCTTGGAGATGCGGCCAATGCGACCCCCCTCGAATGCCCGAACCCTTACATCCTCATATCCGCAAAAGCCCAGAGGACCAAGAAGCACAAAAGCAAGACAAAAAAAAGGCAACCCAACGCAAGCCCAGAGCGACGATCTGTTCAGGCCTTGGCTTCATGAGCCGCCCTGGAGGGCTCCTGGTCCACGGCCGCGCGTCTGTTAACTTCTGGCTTCAATACAGGGCCTCCATCCTGTCAGTGTTGTTAGTGTTGTGCTTGCTTCTTCACATCGTAATCATTCTGAGGTAAACATGCTGTATATTAGGCAGAGTGAGGGGAGTGACATGGAGTGATGTGTTTTCCGCATGTTGCTTGTTTAGCAACTTCCAGCGATGGTGCGAGGCGCGAACCACCCGGCCACGGAGCACTCCCGATTTGTGCAGGGTTAGGGTGTGTCGGGCTCAGGTTTCGAGTGCGCTTTGGACCATGGTTTTTCCTCGAAGCCCGCCTGTCATCGGGTTTAGCCTGGGTTTGCGAAATGCCAAGTGGTCGTCGCTTCTGGACTTGAGGGCTCTCGGCGACGTGCTCTTGGACCATTCGAGTCAGTAGAGTGTTCTTTCGTGTCCCCATGGTCTCCCACTGGTTGGGGTCTACGCTGGCAGAATCGGGTTTACTGGGGGTAAAGGGTTCAGGAGTTTAGAGTGCGTAGTATAGAGTGTATAGAGTTTACAAAGGTTGAGGGTTGTATTGGGGTGTATAAAGGGTGTATGAGGGTGTACGGGGTTCAGAGTGTATAGGGTTTTGAGCAGTTTAGGGGCAGTTTGAGGCTTTGTGAGCTCCCAAGCTCACGAGGCATCGGCCGAACAAATCCGGTGCCTCATGCCCGCGAGGGTGCAGAGTGATTGGGGATGTGGGCTCAGGGTCCCCCGAGATCGTCCATATTTTTTGAGTTGGGTGCTCTCCAGGAGCGGGCCGTGCACATCTCGGGTTGCGAGATCTCCTCACCGGAAGACAAGGACTGACGAAAAGGCAACCTTCCCCGCACAAGAAGGCCCTCTGAACTCATTCGGAGGTCCAAGCTTCGAAGGTCTTGAGAAGGAAAGGCAGAAAAATGGGAATGCTTCCACACGTTGACCCCCATTCCTTGAGCTGCTGCCGTAAGGTATTGCTTGTGTGTGAGGAGTGGTTACTGTCCTACTTGGACCAAAAGCCTGGCTCGATGGAGCAAGCAGAGAGGGTGGCCAGCCATGTACATAAGACTTTCTATCGCTGAGGCTGCTGATGCTCCAAAGTGGGCGCAGAAACGCAGGTACACGTATCCCATTCATTTTCCACTGCTCCTACCAGTACGATGTGACCTCACAAGTCCGCCCAAAGCGCACCCAAAGTGGCATACCGTGTCAGCCTGCCAGCCGGGCATCCTCGGTTTCTGAGTACTAGGAGACTTCCTGGAGACAAGCGAAATGAACCTGCCAGGAAGCATGCGAGCATGGATGTTTTGAACCATCGGTTCCAATGCCACAGCGTCCAACTTCACTTCTTCTGGGCACTGGTTGTGAGGCAGGGCTGGACGAGATCGTGGGTTACATGTCTTGGCAGGTGGGGGCCCCATTCAAGACATCTGAGTTGTGTGCACTCTGGCAAGTTGATGCCCCGATGCAGGTGACAAAGGTTGGCTCTGCCAAGAGGATCGGAGTTGGGAAGTGGGCGGTGTCAAGGGATCTTTGTGCCTTCGAAGGCGCAAGGAGAGCCATCTGCCCACCCCTCCTCACTTTGCATGTGCCGTTCTGTTGAACAGACTCAAGATGTTGCGCCACTTGTAAGCCACAAGTGCTGCGAGTGCAGGGCGGAGCTGGCTGCCTTGGCCGTTCGCAAGGATGGCTCGGGAGGGCGGAGCTCTGGGTACAGAAGTTACGGTGTATGGTTGAGCCACATGTTTAAGCGGATGGTTTCGGATGTGAGCGAACTGCCGACCCGCAACGGTTGCTCGAGCGGCATAGAGCAAGTGCCGCAAAAGTGCATCGTAGGACGCATGCCGAGAGGAGGGAGAAGAGGGAGAGGAGGGAGAGAGGAGGGAGAGGAGGGAGGGAAGCAAAGAGAGCCGAAAGGACCGTCGCCGCCGCGGCCTGGGCCGTGGGCTCTTGGGCTTTGCAGCAGCGGAGGCCTGGGGGGGCTTCCGTGGGGCTTCCGTGGATTCCCACTTTGCTTTTCCCCCGTTGCTTTGCCCCCTTTGCTTTCCCTCTTTGCTTTTCCCACTTTGCTTTGCCACTTTGCTTCCGTTGGGGCAAGGCTGCGGCCGCCTTCGCTGCGGAAGTCGTCCTGCACGTGAGGCCTTCAAACGTCGGGGCCTCAGCTTCTGCGGGGTCGTGTGACAGAGAGAAGGACCGTGTAGGAGCAGGGGACGGGTGCAAAATCGTGAATTGTGCTGGTGTTGCAGAAAGAAGGTCGCTGCCCGGGGGCTCTATGAGTCCAGTAGCTCAGACACATGCAAGCTGACGGTGTTTTTCAACGCATTCCTTGATTCTTTCTTAGGGGTCCAAGTGTTGCGTTTAGAGCCCGTTGATGGGGTTTCTCCAGGTCCTTTGGCTTCCATGTTGTCAGGGAAGAAGAGCACATGCCTCAGTGTCCGCATTGAGGGGCGTTGGTGGACTCTTAGTGGCGAGCATGAGGGTTCGTTTCTCATTTGCCGAGGTCATACTTTGGATCGGAGCCAGGATACTCAGTAATTGCATCTGTTCATCCGAAGAGTTTTCCCATCTGGCAGTTCCATGGACATGTTGAGGCCGGGCCTTTTGATGCTGCTTGGACTCCCTTCCATACAGGCTCTGGCAAGCGAGAGCTTGCTTGCGATACATTTGAAGCGGATGGCTCGCGCATGGAAGTTTTATGAGCTCATGCCTCAGATTGCCTCAGGCGTTCAGCGGGCCCTTTCTGGGAGCTGCGCATGGTGTTGCAAGGTTGCTCAGAGTTGCTAAACGTGCAGAGACTGTTGGCCCTTTCTGAAGGTAGCTGGCAAGCTGGCACAACTACCACGCAGTGTACCAACAAACATTTGTCCAAGTTTGCAGAAGTTTGCGAGGGGTGAGCCGGCTGCCGGTAGATGTGGGCACAGGCTTTGTAGCTGAAAACTCTGCACACATCTGTACCTCCATGCATTCCCGTGTCATGGTTCAGAAGGCCCTCCGTGCCACGAGCTGTGAGACCTTCGGCCTCCTCTCCCGCAGGGGACTTTGCCCATTGCCTTCTTTCGGTCTTTAAGTCACTTTTGGTCTTTCCACTCTGAAGCATTGTTTAGCGACTTTCATGGATGCCTTGCAGCCATGGGCTTCGCTTAACTTGTGGTAGTGCGGATCTAGGCCCCCCACCTGCAAGTGTTGCTGCGCAACGGGCCGCAGCAGCAAGGCTGCAAGGCTCTAAAGGCCGTAGGGTCAAAGGTGGACCACGTGAGCTGAGGAGCTGACCTTTGTGTTCGTTTTTTTGGGTTTGGGGGCATTCATGGTTTACCAAAGCTTATACTTACATGCGTTGAAAAGGTGGGAGGTTTGGGGTTAACATCCGCTTGATGAGCCCTCCCCATCTTGAAGCTGCATTGAGGTGCCCTAGGCGAGGTGACCCCGCTCCTCAAGCGCCAGGGACCTGGTTCAGCCGGTCAGAATTGCCATGATCCGCAGCTCGTGAGGTGCTGGTAGCTGTTTGCTTTTTGCTGTTCTCACAGTTGCACCTTAGCATCAGTAGCATCTGTCTGAAGCTAGAGGGAGCTAGACGCTCCATGGGCAGCAGGTCGAGGCTGGCAGATTCGCCAACTGACAGAGGCACAAAGGCAGGCTGCAAGAAGTATATGAATTACATTGAATTCCACTTGGCGAAGTCAAAAGTTTTCAGATGGTTTACGTTGTGCACACCAGCATCTTCTAACAGACTCTCACAAAAATTCACTTCTGACGAGAACCATGCGTGCTCTGGGACCTTCCGCAGCTCCAAAGCTTTCGAAGCTTCCGAATGTCCGGGGGGGGGGGGGGGGGGTACATGCCTTGCAGTGGTGCAGGTTGTCTCGGTCACGGACGCAAAGTCGCAACGCGGATGCCAGAGCCTATGGTTTCACAAGGCTACAAAACCTACAAGAAAACAGCCGTGAAGTTTGCTAGTTCGCGGTTCCTTTTACAAGTTTATCCGCCCTCAGAAAGAGGGAATGACAGGGAAGTCGGTTTCTCGAAGAGCTTTCGCAAGGGCCGCATGTGGACACGCTTGTGCCAAGGCATGCCTATGAGCATGTCTGCTCGTGTTGCGCTCCCGTTGTGTTCGTTTGTCCTCGCGTCGGGAAGGTGCTTGTGGGGTTTTCTCTTATGATTCTCGGGAATTGCTCGGGTGCACCCGCCGAGCAATGAAGATCAAGAAGATGATGATGGGTGCATCGACATTGCAGGACATTGATGGTACTACGATACTGATACCCGGCTCGGTGCCTAACAGAGAAACAGATCGTCAGACTCCGTGGAAGTCATGTCAGGATTTGTGTTTGACAATGCGCATCGGTTGAGCAGCTTCTCCGCATGGTGTTACGAAGTTGTTCGCCGCATGGCACATCGTCGACGTCAAGGGGTGATTTTGAAAGCTGTGAACATGAGGGATTCGGCGAGTTATCTTTTTTCAGTCAGCTGCTGGATGCTACCATGCATGTGGGATGTTGTCAGGTTTGGCTTGTCCCGGGGCCAGTGGCGCTTCTCACATAGGTCTCTTACTTTCTCTAGGACTGGCTAGTTACCCAATCACGTGGCGTGTCAAATTTCACGAGTGGGACAGAAGTACATCGTATGAGGGGAGTAATATCTTGCCGCGGCCGGGCACCTCCTCTTGACTCGGAGACAACCCAAGAAGCGGAGTCCCCAATCATGCTGGGCCTTAGTTTAGAGTTGTCTCGCAAGGTCTGCGGCTTGCACGTTGGTTCCGGTTGGATCAACGTTGTTGCTTGCCGGCACCTTGTCTGCTAAGTCGTGGCAATTTGTAGTCCATTGCAACTGAGATGCAGTGGAGTACCCTTGCGGTTCGAGGCATACGGCAAGCGGCCTCTTCTGTTCTCCGCTCCCATACACCGACATTTTGGTGGACCATCCATGTTTGCATCGAAGCGCAAGAATCTCCTTATGTAGTGGTGACATTATGCCATTATGCGTGCTCAAGCTTACAGCACCGAATGCTATGCGATGGCACAAACAGCAAGAAGTAATGGAGGGTATGGAAGGGGTTGCCTGCACTGCCCCTGGAATTTTGGGGCATGTCGTAAGTCCAGAAATGCAGGCGACACTCCTGCACGAAGTTGCCCATTTTCAAGAAGATGGCCACGGGCTGCCAGCTCAGCACTTGCCCGGCCTAGAGTCAACAACCAAGAGCATCCACTGGCTAGCGGCTCTGCTTCCATAGAAAGCAATCGCCGATTCGTTTTGATATGTTGAGAAGGTGCCGCGGTACAAGGCAACTGCTTTTCAGGTCAGATATTGTTCGAAGTACGCAAGGGCGTGACGCGACTGTCCCGCCAGCATCTTTCTATGCAGGTGTCTGCGCGCGTACTTCCCAGTCAAGCTCGACCTGAGAACCCTTATCCACTCTGAGACCTTTGCAAATCGCTGTAGGCGGTTTCTGGGGACATGTAGGGGTTGTTATTAGTCAGCCTGCCCCTGTGGATGCTTTGTGAGTACTGGTGCTCTTGCAGAAGGGGTTCCAGGGCCCCCACCACCCCCCCCCACCCCCCATCTCCCAACAAAACAAGGGGATACCGTGATGCAACACGACTCCCAAGCGAATGCTTAGGGGGAATAGGGACGCCTTGAATTGCCCTGAGGCTCGAGTTTTATCGACTCTTCGGCGAGTTGATTGCCGATTGCGTGCCAAATCAGTTGGGATCCTGAGCCATCCAGTAATAACAGTAGTGTGAGGTCTGTACCAACCTTCTACTGGAGTGCTAAACCCCATCTATTACTGAAGCAATGCCATAGCCAGCACTCGAATCATTATTCAGGTGTGGGCTACTGCAAACGCATACTATCTGGTTCTTCGTGGTTTCAGTCTAGAGACAATAAAACTTAGAAAAAGATGGTGTGCATTGTGGAAACAGACGGCGCAATGCACCTATTTCGGTGTTCATATGCATCGCTCTTGCTCCGTGATTCATCTGTGACAGCCTCTTGCAATTACAACGCCACACCTCCTTTACTTTTTTGGCACATCCTGTGCTCAGGGATTGCCTCTCCTTGTTTGCAAATACTTTTCGGTCACATTTTCGGTCTTGTTTGGTCGGCTCGTTAAGGAGCATCACGCCGGTCTCGGGGTTCATCCTTGCAGAGCTGCGAATCAAGTCTTTTCTCGAAGCGAAGCGTTTGCAAGGTGACATGTCGATGTCCAGCGGGTTTCATGGGCTTGGGTTGAAGCCGTGGGTAAAGGACCAGAACCAATTCAATGGAGTCTTGTTGAAGGAAACCGGCATATTATGAGCCTTCCGTGAGCTCACTTGCTTCTTCTATTGGTGGCTTTGTGCCTTGAGAGGCCCGACCGCGCAGCGGCGTTGCTTCAGTGTGCCGACCAGGTCGTGCTTCCACGCCGAGTCTGACCAAAGCTCCCAAACGCAGTTGGGTTTTCCTTTAAGCAAAAGTTCAAGAGGGCAGGCCGAATGCAGAATGCAGAACAATCCCCCGTTGTAGGCCTGTACTACAGTACGCTCCTACTTGGCGCAAGGAGCTGCCGAACATCGGCGGTCAGAAATGGAAGGCCGGGGCATGAGGGACTCAACTAAGTCCCGACGTGCGTGTTGGACTTGTAAGAAAGAGTTGAAACAGCAGAAGTCGTGAGCCCCCCCCCCCAAGATGATCTGCAACATTCACTCGCGAGAGCGCTTCCACTTGATGTGCTTTCGGAGGCACTCCATTCCAAATGGCGAGATGATGCGAAGCGACATGAGGCGAGTGGAAAAAAATGGTGGCAGGCGCCAGCATCTTGTGCTTCTTGCCGTTTATGTTTTTCTTTCTGCCTGGAAGGAGCTGTACTGTAATCCAGAACACGGTTACACCGAGTCAGGATCGACATCGCATGCGCCGGCAACAGTTACAGCCATTCACACGCACTGGCAGTCTTGTGGCCCGCAGTAGAAGATCTTGGTCATGGTTTGGACAAGTACTTGTGGACCAATAGGCAGAGACGGATTTATAAGTACCCTGGCCGCGAAGAGGTAGCAGTCATTGTGCGTAGAGCCTTTTGAGTCATGTCTGTGAGAGTGAAGTGAGATGGGATGCAGCCACTGTAACAAACTCTAAACAGCCTTATCAACCGGCATACAGGACAAGCACACACCTGCAACAGCTGCTGACTTCAGTACAGCCGATAGAAGCTTGCGGCCTGGTTTCTGGCATGCAGCATGACGCTATATTTGCAGAAGCGAGGACGCTAACCTTTGCTAAGTGAATGCCCCGCAACCTCCAATATTTTCAAGCGCGACAAGGCCGGTCACATGCCGATCACTGCAGCCGAGCTCACATCCAAGGCCATGGTAAATTGCCCCGAAGATCTCCCCGCTCAAACAGGGGCCTTACAGGTGCAGTCGGTTTTCGCGAAAAACGCTTGCAGGGGATTACTGTACCCAAAAAGCACTTCGAATGTGTTGAGACTTGAGAAATCTACGTACACTTGGAGTACGTGGAATGTGACGACCCCTGTCTTTCAAGTCTGCAAGCTGCCCAGCATGTCATGTTTGGAGTTGATATCGCTGGAGGCTGCCATGCTGAACAGTGTCGAGCCCCTTGGCTTGAGCACCACTGGACCACAGGTTTACTCAAGTTGCTATTCGCCTCAACTGCAACTCCGCTCCCAGGAACCTTTGATCTTGCCTGAAAGCCCTGTAGACCGAGATTGAGTCTGATTGAGTCTCCGGAAGCCCAGGGCAGATGAGCGAAGATCTGGACCTGATATTCCTCTGCTGCAGGCTGTTCGGATATGAAGTGACTTGATGCCCTGAACTTTTCAAGGTTTCTGATTCTCTTCCAGTGGGCGCAGGCTATAGGTCACCTTTGCCTTCATTTGGAGTGCGATGCAGCAAAAGTTGCCGGTGCCCTGGGGCTCAGCCGGGTGCCCAGAGGACACGGGCACCTCCACTTTTTCTTCTGACACGCTTCAGCACACCTGTTCTAGGTGCGGGTGTGCGGGTATCACAAACACATCATGCCCAGCTCTGGAGGCCTCCAGCGGCTCAATGCCGCTCCGCCGCGTGACCTGGAGGACCTTTGTGCCACTTTGCTCACCAGCCGCATCAGACTTGAAACGTTTGGATTTTTTTTTGGCTTCTGGGCATTCCCACGAGACTCGCAGGACTTTGCCCACAAGGCAGCCAAAGAGTCCTCTGATCAGCTCCTGTCAGATGCAAAGATCAAATATGTGCACGAATCCCGCTAGCATGAGCAGCAGTTCTCCCTCTCACCCCAAGCATCAGTATAGAACCAGCACGAGAAAGTACCCTGGACGTGGTTCAGCCACTGACTGTGGTCCCAGAGAAGTCACGTGCAGCAAGCGTCAAGTCGCTTCAAGTGTGCACAGGTGTTGGCCGGCTTCTACTCCGACGACTGATCAGCCTTCTAGCACAGGCTTCTGCACATTGGCCGATGAGATTCGCAGCAGATGCAAATTCGGAATTCGTGCAGTCGGGGACATCTTGGAATCTTGTGCAGTCTCGGCATGTCTTGGCGCTTTGCCGGGGCATGTGTCTGCTAATTTGGTTTTGATGCCCTGCTCCGGCATGCAACCCAATTGGGCCCTCCAAGCCTGACGAAGGCCTGCTTCGCAGCATGCCAAGAAATGGACCTGTGATCTCAGTCGCCAGTCGCTTCTTGCAGATGCGTTAGCCTGCTTCGCTTCGAGCATCTCGGGCATACAATCGAAGATGATTTTGCCACAGTTCTCACCGGCTGAACTGTAGGGCATGAGCAAGACCCTTAGCACCTGAGACTACACCCTTCATGCTTACGCATCCTTGCTGGCAGCCAGACATATCTAGCCCAGCCTCAGAAGCAAAGCCTGAGACCGCTATCTGGTGACGGCTCGGAGCCTGCTAGGACCTCGAAGCATCCTGAGATGTAGAGGCTCCCGGAAAGTGGCCATTTGGCCACCGTGCTCGATTCAACCTCTTACACCCCTCTGCTCGGTGCCATGCCTGGGCAGCGAGGGGTGGACTCGTTACCAGCTCCTGTGGCTGCGAGCACCACGCTCAGAAGTAAGGTTCGACAGACGAAGTTGATGGCAGAAGCGTCAAGAGCAATGGGCTCCCGGAACAGAGCCTCAAGTCTTTGCGCTTGCGTGTGGGGCTTCGCTTTGAGGTAGCTTCAACCGCTTCTTTCCTGGGCAAGCGGTTTTAGTCTACAGCAACTCCGTGGGAACCTGGGTGCCTTGACAGCCTTGATCTTTTTGGTATCTCAGTATCTTGTCGTGTAGTTCCGGTGTAGTTGTCTGATTCGCACTAGCCCGTCTGATTTGCAGGTCCGCGGCACCATCGCTGAGACGCTCGGCCGCACTGTGGGTTATTGTGAAGAGTCCGGCGAGTCCGGAAAGAATCGGGAAAGAGATGGAACAGAGTTGGAGTTTGAGTGAGAGTTTGAGGCGTCAGAACGCTTGACTGAGGATCTTTGATCAAGCCTGTGTGGCTGATGGTTACTCCATGCCGGCAGGGTGCATCAAGGTGGCACTCGACAACGATAGCGTCAAGTATGCTGCTTCCTTGCATCGAGTACTCGACCCACCTCATGCCAGGCTCAACCTTGCTGAGCTCAGGTTCAGCCTGAGCAGGCAGCGGAAGTGCTTCGTCCTGCGGAAGGCCTGGCTGAGGTTGAAACTTCTGTGCCACCCTTTCAAGCCTTTCAAGCCTCTGATTAAACAGCCCTGAGAGCCGAAGGCCCGTCGTTTGAGTATCTCCCGAGTCATGTGGGGGACTTTCCTGACTCGCCAGATCTACCCCCGGCTCCGGTGCCGGCTGCGCCAGAGCCACCCCTCCCTCGGCCTGGGCCTTCGAAGCCATGTGCTTGTCACTTGCCGGTTTTCTTCTTGGGAAAAGTAGAACTTACCAACTCAGGGTTTCGCCCTCTGCCCACTGATACAACAGGGAACCAATAGGGTAGCAAGGACGTCAACGGCAGACTCCCGGTGCTTGTGGTCATTGTGCTTTGTGGTGCTTCGTGGCGCTTTGTGGTGCTAGGTCCGCACAGGATCGGAGCAACCCTGCGCCGACAGGTGCAAAAATCTGCCAAAATGGTGCAAGATGGTGCAGACCACCCCTGAATTCTTGGATCCTACTGAGAGGAAGAAGTTTGGCACCGCAGGCCGGGCTGATGCAGGTGCCGCGCGGTTAGAGGCACGTGATCGCCCAGCACTCAGCATGGAGGGCCTGCTTGGCAGCTTGCTCAGTGAAGAGGTTTTCGAGAGCGACTTGGGGCTTTTGCTTCGGCTTGCTTTGGCGCGCGTTCCCAGTTTCATCGAGGCTGGAACACCTACGAAATCCGCCTGCAGGACGGCTTTGGGCGCTGGGAAGAGTCCACGTTGCAACGGTGTTGCATGGTATCGCCACAATATTGCCCGTGTTGCAGACAGATTTTGTGCCGATCTGAAGCCGGCCTTCATCCTTAAGTGGCCGTTCAAAAGGAGATCTTCATGGAGTATGACAGGGACAACTCGGGTGTACAGCTCTTACAAAACTTGGATCTGGCACGGCCTTTGACATGTTCAACTCATGCTTCCTGTCCAACTTGTGCAAAGGCCTTGGAAGTTGAAGAGTTCCGTGCGCTGTTGCGGGATTTCAACGAAGGTGCAAGGGCAACAACACGGGGGCCTTGGCAGTGTGTTCTCTGCGACTCAGCAGGCCGGGACCCCACAGAAGAGGAGCCTGGTCCTTATCCTTTTCGTTCGTGTTGCAGACTCGCATTGACGGTCCTGCCGTTGTTCGCCCCAGCCTGAGGCATGCATTCATGATGAAGCTGTCTGACAAGGCCGCAAGGGCCGCTCTTGCACACGTTGCACACGAAGCTTTCGACGATGCCCCAAATCAGCCGTTCTGTCCGTTTTTGAGGATGGCGATGGCCGAATCAGCTTGGGGGAGCAGCATGGCTGCAGAGCATGGCTAAGCAGAGCATGGCTGCCTTCCGGCCTGAGGCTGTTTGTGTGGGCTTTTCTGTGGGGCTCACGCTCCGAAGATCTCCAATGTTTCGGATTCGTTGTCAGGAACCTTTGTGTGTCGATCAGGGCACCCCTCTCGTTTCTGATACAATTGTCACTGGCAAAGATCTCTTTCGTCTCGCTACCGAAGGCTCTGTTCGGCGCTGCCGGTCCGGCCGGGTTTGACCGGTAATCCTTGTGTCGCGCCTCTTTGGGCTTTGATGGCTTTGATGGCTTTGATGGCTTTGATGGCTTTGACGGCTTTGGCTTCGTCTGTGCCATTTCGATACTGCACGAGCGCCACTCGTCCAGCTATCACGGTGCGTGAAGAGACACATATCCTTGATCCCGAAGATGCATTCGCCTGGAGTGCACAAGTCAAAAGTTATGACAACGAAGTGGGTGCAAAAGGTCATGTAGAGGTATCTGCAGTATCTGCCGCGTAGAGATTCGGTACAGATGTGCAGAGATGTGTAGAGATGGTGCAGAGATGTGTAGAGATTCTGAGATGGTGCAGAGACGTGTAGAGATGTGCAGAGTCAAATCGGAGACGTTGCAACCAAAGGTTGCACTATGCCCTCCGTGCCTGGCACAGCTATCGTCATATGGACGTCGGCGGCTCAGGCACAGGTCTGAAGCGCTTGTAGAGAGAGGCTTCCGTAGTAGCCACCGGGGAGCAGAGTAGCGGAAACTTTCGAAGTCCTTCGCTATTCCGCTGCCAGTTCTAGCTCAAGGACTCAAATTGAGACTCAAACATTGAGACTCGAAGTACGAGATTCTCGTAAAGAGGCCACCCAGGCGCGCGCAAAAAATGATCCGCGCGACCATGTCGGGATCCGAGTCCAAGTATGCGAGACTTGGCTAAGACGAAGACTAAGACTGGCTCAGCTGGGGTGGCGAACTTTTCGACTCCGTTGGTTTTGGGGTTTTGGGTCTTGACAGCTCTCAGGATGCTGATCCTCCTGTGCATGACCCTTCTCTATGCGGTCTCGATTTGCGTACAGGCCTTTCGCATCAAGTGACGCATCCCCTTTTCGAAGATCTGGAAAGCGAGAGCCCATAGCGTCTCACGTTGCCGCTCCTAAATCCCCAAAGCCCTTAAGTCACTGAGCCCTGCTCTGGGAGGTTCTACCAGCTTCCATCTGTTGCATCCTGGAAGCTTGGACATATTGGTAGACTCATTTTCGCACTCTCTCCCTCACTCTCTTTCAAGTTATGCCAAGTCTGTTGCTTTTAGGGTCTCTGGAATGTTGTGCTGATGCCAAGGCCAGCCAAGCAGTTGCATGGACACTGAAGGCCAGTTGCTGCAACAAATGGCACGAACTTTTAGGCCCAAGTAGGTGGCCACAGCTACACAGAAACTTCTGAGTGCATGCTCCGTACTGTTGGCACCATGAATCGCCATGCGCGGCCTTTGCACTCGTGACTTTTCCATTGAAGTTGCTGCATGTCGTCATATGTCGTCTATGTGCAGCTTGTTGGTGCAGTAAGAACTCACCAAGAGGCCAAGTGGGCCAAGTATGACCAGAAGATGTCAGCATCGGGCTAAGCATGGCTAAGCCACTTGTGTAAGACGTTGTAAGACTCTGCGTGCGTCTTCTCTTAAGAGGCTTCAGACTCTTTCAGGCGTGCTGCACACGGACGAAAACTCAGGACCGGCAGAAGGCCAATCACCGAACCTCGAAGCGACGGACCAGGTGTCAGGGAGAAGGGTGCGTATCAGATCCGGCTTGCGGCAATCGCAGGTCGGGGCCCTGGTCAGGAAACGATAGGAAACGGAACCGAGGATACCACAATCACAAGCACCCTGGCTTCAGGTTGCGGGACTAGCCAGTTTGGAGCACGGTGCCTTCACCGCAGATCGTCCTTTGCCTGAGACCATTGACAGCGCAGAACGCTTTATTGTCAACGAGCGCGGCAGACTGAACAACTTCCTGCGCATTCTCAGCTGCTTCAATGCTGGCTCAGGATCTTCCAAGCAACAGGAGTTCAAGCATCAGAATTCGATGTCTGCACGGCAAGTGCCTGCGACCAGTGAGACCTTGACCACATCACTCCAGAGCACCTCCAAGTTGTTGGCCGTCATGTTCGATGCAGCGTATTGGCATCCCATACTGAGAGGAAGTATGTAGGGTCGGCTTACGTGTAGTGTTCGAGTTAAAGTTTAGAGTCAGAGTGTTCTCAAGGTGCAGGCGAAACCGTGACGTTTAGTCACTCATACATCGGTTTTCGTTCCTTTTCCGGAGATTTTCTGCTTCGAAGCACTGTGACAGAGGGCCCTCTCAAAGATGCTTGGACCACTTGGATATACCCATCCTCTTGAGACGTTGCATTATGGGCATTCAGAGACCATCTGAGTTTTCAGGTTAAAAGTGCAGGGAAGGGGGGGGAGGGGGCTCCTCGGCAGACCGTGCACTTGGGGCCGTTGTCGCCCCGTGAGTCAAGATGTACAGTTGACTCCGTGCCTTGGCAGAGACGGCACAGGAGCGCTACAGCGTGAAGGGAACAGAGGTCCCTGTTTCCTGTGCTCTCAAGCTTCCGCCGCGTTGCTTGGACGCCTTGGTTGCTGCTTGCCAGCTGCATCTGCTCGGGCTCTTCCGCTCTCGGAAGATGCCCTAATACCGGACAATGCTGCTGGATGAATTCAGAAAGGTTCATCTTACAGGAGATAAGGAGCTAACCCAAGTCGGGCTCTGTTTCGGGCGATGCTGACATCCGTTTGGTGAAAATAGACGGGTTGGGAACTCGTTTGTGTTTATCAACTGTCAGCTTCCGTCTACGTTGTCTTTATCTCACAAAGACGATTCTGGCAGCGTATAGAAAGTGGTTCCTTCTGCTCTGCTGTGTCTGCGAAACTGCTGTGCAAACGCGTGTTTGGCGCCTCTCATGGCATGACACACAGCCGCTCAGGATTCCCTTCTTCGGCTCTTTGCCGAGTTCGATTTCGATGAGCTTGAACCCCATGTGAAGCTGAGATTGCTGTTGTGGCTGATCAGGGTTAGGCTCAGTCTACAGACAAAGAAGCCTCGCAGTTCAGACGCCGTGCTGAAAGGTGGTTACGCCCCATGAGGTCGGGACACCTCTCGGTAGTGGAGCTGGAGCGGTTGCTGACAGCCATGAACGGCGGCAAGCCCGCAAGAAGCTGAGGCTTTATGATCAGTAAGGGGAGTCATGATCTACAAATGCCAAGCCCCGACGTCTGCCAAGGTCCCCCGGCACGAGGTGTTCCGTGTGATGCAGGAGGCAGACACACTAGGCACGTACGTGCGCACAAGATAGGACGTCCTAGTCAGCTGGGGGAATACCATGTGTGCAGAGGCGACCACGTCATCCACCGAGCCGAGCTTTTAGGAGCCATCTCGGCGTGGTGCGGCTGATGCTGAGTCTTGTTTGCCGTGCAAGTAAGTAAGCGCAGCTTGTTGGAGGCTGGTGTGGCCTTTGTTTCTTCGCTTGAACGCTGCAGGTACGGCAACGTGGACCGCAAGGACAGGGAGGGAACCGAAGAGAACGAGCTCAGTAAATAGGGTTCCGGGATGTTCGGGGGCTTGGAGTCGGAAGGACACGGACTTGCCGAGTCTGCTACGAGAGGCGCTGGCCCGCACCATCCAGGAAAGGGGATGCGGATGGGATGTGACGGATGTGATGCCCGCGATGCCCGAACGAGTCCCAAATGTATCCCAATCCTGCACAACCGATCAACGGATCGCAATGTGAGCAAAACTTTGCACGACCGCTGCCGTGAAGGGCTAGAGTAGCCATGACTAGTAACGACCGGCCGTAACGCACGGCAAAAGTGTCGAATCTCTGTGCAATGACTTCGCTTCAGTCGCTTCAGTCTCGTCGACGCCTGGCCCTGGGAAACCTTTCGGTGGCCAAGAGGAGCACGAGCTTAGCAGAAATTGCTGCTACACTGTTCTAACCAAGCTGTTGTTGAGAGTTGAGAGTGCCACTGCCAGAAAGCTCCAACATTGTCCGATTGTGCAATCCTTCAGGAGCTTCAGCCTCCCAGGAACTTCTTTGTGCGACTACGACGTTCAGGACTCCTGCTGAGGGGAGGGCTGGGGGGAGGGCTGTGGGGGGAGACAAGGCCCCGGGGAGAGAGGGCCTGGTTCCTTTCACAGCTCTGAACATCTGGCGAGGAGTTGCTGGGCTTCGGCTCGGCTGGAAAGGTCTTCAAGGCGAAGCAGAAGCGGGATGACAAAGAGGTGGCATTGAAGGTGATGCAGTGCTTGGATGAGGCGAGAGGGCCTTCTCAAGCTCGACTGAGCCTCATTAAAAACCGAAGCCAGCTGTCGACGGCAGGAAATGCTGCGCATCCGCTGTGGCGAGTTCAACGTGCTTCGTACTCTACGGCATCCGCATATCGTCAATGTACTGAACTTCTGGACCCACGACAACGAAGCAGTCCTGGCCATGGAGCTCCACAGCCAGAGCAATTTGCAGCAGGTAGTGCGCAGAGCTTCCTCCTTGGACGAAATGACGTCCAGGTCGCTGTTCCAGACACTTTTCCTCACATGGTACTTGCTTTGCGTGCAGTGAGATGGGGTGAGATGGGGTGCACACGTACAAGAATGGTCCAAGGATGCTTCTGGAGGCAGTCGACTTCTTGCACCAAAAGAGTGCCTCATCTTGACCCATAGTCCCACGCCCTCTGCATTCTGCCTAGCCCCTAGGCCCTAGCCAATGCCCATTCAAGGAATCATTCACCGCGACGTGAAGCCAGACAACATCCTCGTGTCGGATGACTTGCAGAGCCTTTGGCTTGCTGACTTCAATGCCGCTCATTCCTTGCTGGAAGGCCGCCGTGTGGAGCATGTGCTGGCGTGACCTGATTCAGCTGACGGTTTCATGAGGCGGAGCCCTGAGCATGACGTTCACAGCCGAGTTTGCTGCTCCAGAGGCCTGGGGGGCTCACATGATCTCAGATGTGATCTGTCCTGATCTGTCCTGCCTGGATTTGCGTGAAAGGATTCGACATGCGAGCGATGTCTGAAGGTCCTCCTTGGACAAAGCCACGCTGAGCCAGCGGACGTGTGGAGCTGCGGCCTGTTCCGCAGCTGAACGATTGGGCAGCTGAAGTTCAGTCGGACTCATTGGCAGATCCGGATGCTAGGGTAGATGGGAGGAGCAGCATGGAGCAGCATTGGGGCAACCGACTCGTTCTAGTATATTTCTCGTCCCATTCGAGTCGAAGCTGCGCACTTTGACCCCGAGGTGCTTGCACTACATGCTACGCGGCGACTTGCCTCGGCGGCTGTCGAAGTTTGCATCCAGGAGAATACCTGGCCACTCCTGTCTTTTCGTGTTTGTGCAGTGCTTTTACATGTCTGCTTTTCTGAGCCCCCCATAAAACACAAACGGCACACAGTCCAAGATGTCAGGAGCGCTTTCCTGGATGCCGTGATCGCACAGCCTGTCACATGCGACGCGCCGGAATGGGCCACCTTCAGTTTTGATTCTTGGAGAGTGTTTACTTTATCGCAGAGACTAGGACATTTTGCATGGGGTCTGTGCTGTGACTTTTTCCAGGGTGGCAAAGCAGCTCATGACATCGATCATATGACCACCTGTCTGAGGAGTGCAGGGACACTGTGACTACAAGTTTGTCTGTGAGCTGGCTGAAGCCAGAGTGCAACCGGGTGTGGCTTGTCGCAGTTGCCAAACATGGCTTCGGAGAGTGGGAACTTAGGTGGACAGCGAGGTTCGGCCGAGTGCAGCTGAGTTGCTCGTTCGGCCATGGGTGAGCATCAGCCTCAGAGGGCAACGAATCAGGGCAACATCAGCGGGCAACATTTGGGGTGTCTCGGAGGGTCTCGTTGCAGATATCGCCGGGCTCATATCGTTGTGAGGGAAGAAGGTCCATTAGCGTATTAGCGTGTCGCCAGCGGCCGGTGGATCCTGCTCGTGAAAGGGTCATGCTCGTCACTTCATCCGCATGGCACAACGCCCTCTGATTTGGCCCAGCCGGCTCGTACCACAAGCATTTGGGTGTTACATGCCGCAAGGGCATATCGGCCGTAAGAGCCCGGTTTCGCGAACAAACATGACGCGATATGACACGTTTGTTGACAACGTGGCATGTTTCTTGGCCTGCGGTCTCGCTTGCGTTTCTCGCTTGCGTTTCTTCTTCTTCTGCTTATGTAAGCTCGTAAGCATCGGCCTGATCTTCCAAGCGCTGGCGGCTCAAGTACGAATCCTGTCACGTACTCAGGTTTCAAGCGCGCACGATTCAAGCACTGGCGATTCAAGCGCTGGCGTTTCCTCTGGGTCTTTTCGGGTTCAGGGTTAAGGAGGGTTTAGATCAAGGTCTTTGCGTTGAGGTTTTTTCGGGCTTTTGGGGTTTTTTTCGAGTTTCGAGGATGCATGGCTTTTAGGGTTCACGGGATGTTCTCGGTTTTTTTGGGTGAGGGCTGTTGAAATTCGCAGTTTTTGGGGTCATGGGTTTTTGGGCTTTCGGGTTCGGGTTTAGAGTTTGGGTCTAGGGGGCTTCGGGGTTTAGAGTTTCGGGTCTGGGGGGCTTCGGGTCGCCCCCTGAAAATTGTAAATGCTTGCAGCGCGCTGCCGTCTCGGCAGCCTGGCCCAGCGGTCCAGGGGGGTCTCAAGGGAGGGCTTCAAGGAGAAGACGTTTCGCAAGTGGCAAGGGGGCGGTGCAGAGGGGTTGCAGGGTTGGCGTGGTCTCTGTGGGAGAGGCCCGAGCCCGGAACCCCCGCAGCATCGGATTTCAGCTCCTCCAGGCGGATTCCGTAAATCCAAACACTCTCGACCCTTGTGCAGCACCTTAGTTGTTTCCCTGAACCCAAAACCTTAAAGCTGAAGAACGCAAAAGCCCTCTCCGAGCCTCCACTTTTCATCGTGTTTCAGCATGCGACGTCGCTGAAGCCCATTTTATACGCCCTAGCGATATCGGAATCGAAGTGATTTCTACTCAGCGCGACATGTCTTGATGCTCTCCTTTTGTATCTTTTCGAGGTAGCCACTCCTCGCTCGCCACGGACGATGACACATGGGCATTGTGAAGATTGTGAAGATGCCACCCCAGTCCCTGGGCAGCCCCATGCAATTGCGCGATGTTAGCAGCGCCGTTCCACGGTACCCTTTCTTGCCCCACTCCTGTTGCAGCTGCGGCTGCGCTTGCCTTCTCTACTCGTGTCATGTTGCCGAGGTGATGCGGTGTCCTTTTTACTCCGTATGTCTCAATTCACATTGAGGCTGTGCAGCATTAGGTAGGACGGCGCCAGGCTGCCAGGCTCCAGAGGATTTTTTCTGTTTGCCACACAGTACATACAGTATGAAGGAGCTTGAGATCCAACAAGGATCAACAAGAGCCACCGAAGCGACCACGGAGACAGTTCCGTTTTTCTGCTGTTGTCTTTCTCTTTCCTTTTCCGGCATCTATGCATCGATGCTGGTTTCCTCTCCTGGCCATCGGGTTTTCCGAGCAGGAGTGGGAGGAGGTCCGGGGCAAGAAGCGGCTAGCAAAGCTTCTAAGGAGGTTGGGATGGTTTTGTGAAAGTCTTCCGGGGGTGGAGCGGTTCTTCCCCAGTACCCGCCAGCCAGAGACTCCCGACATGCTTGTGCCTTGAGGGCGCGACATGCGATTTGATAGATATTGGCGAGTGCTCTTGCATTTCTGCAGATGTGAAGCCGAGAATGCGCAAGCACGCACTGATTCATGAAGGACGATTTTTGCAAAAAAACAACGCATGTTGGATAGTGTCTTGGGCGTGGCACCGCGGAGACTGCAGGTCGGTGCCACCATGTGCCCCCTCACTTCTGCGGACTTCCTTTCGTATCTTCTTGTGTTGAGCATGCGCTGTGAGATGCCATTCCACCACAGTTCGCGTGGGGTGTCTAGAGGCGATGGCTATCTCCACTGGCAGCTTGATTTGCCGTAGGCTGCAATCGGGCTGCGCAGCATTCATTCGTGTTTCAAAGTTGCGACTCAAGAGACGTCTCTTTTCGGGTCTGTGAGATGCTTCCCAGAAAGGAGATGTCTATTCCACACGCTGCCTTTTTCTGATCTTCCAAGAATCAGGTTTTCACCGGCCACCAGTCTGTGAGCCTAAGGCTGCCAGCGCGAGGGTGGTTCTGGACAGTTTTTTCTCGCGTTTTGATTGAAACGGACGCGGCCAGATGCCAGATGTTGCCGGCACGTAGAGCAGGCAAAAACATGGATGCTCATTCTTGAACCCGGCTGCTTTGGGGTCCCCAAAAAGGCAAGAATGAGGAGCGTTCGCGCTCGCAATAGCTGAGCTTTGGGTTGTGGAATGGATAGAATATGGGGTGTATTGGGGCTTGGTGTTGCGAGGACGGATGAGCATATTGAGGGTAGATGTGTGATACCTTGTACATACACTCATTGTTTCCCCACTGTGGTGGTTGTTTCATCTTATGTCAACCATTCTCCCGGCTTCCTTGCTCGTCCCCGGATCTCCCAGGTCCCGTCCCGCAGAGTATCCCCTGGAGTGCCCACCCCCGAGACACCGAGAAATTCGCAAAGAGTCCCGCCGAATATCGAGTGCCCAGTCCGGGCTTTTCCCGCTCGCTGTCCTTTTTGTTTTGTGCTTGCCTGCGGTTTTTGCTGGCTGTTTTGGGTCTCTCTGCCTTTCTTCGCTTTGCTTCGAGGTTTCCGGTTTCCTGAAGTCCTGCGTGTTTGGGGGTTGCCCGGGTTGAGGGTTCAGTGTTCGGTGCCCGGGGTGTATCAGAGACTTCGGCAGCCCGCAGGACGCGGACTATTCAGGAGCATTGGATCAAGGACGCAACGCCTTTGGCTTGCGGCCCAAGCATGGGATCGGATGTTACTTAAATTCCTTGGGTTCGACCGAGGCACAGGCGGTGTTGCCTCCAGGGTTCACACACTCACCCGTGAGTTCTACATGTGGGTGTTTTAAACTGAGTTCTCCTAGACTTAAACATTCTTTTTAAACGGGACCTCGGGTTCGGAGCAGTCCCTCAATTCGCAGTTCGGAAGCCCTGGAAGGGCTTCTCATGCTCACCAGAGGTGTGGCCGCGTCGATGGTGAAGGGCTTCGTTGGATATTCGCAGGCTGCCGGTGGTTGAAATGGGGAGGGGAGGTGCATGGTATTGACCTATGGAGCACCCCATTCCCTTGTGAGGAAACCATCCTGCATGCCTGTTGGCCTGTGTGGGTAAATCTAGGGCTGCAGCTCTGGGAAGGTGGACAACGACGGCCAGCATCAACCTTTGGCCGGCGCGTCGCACTCTCGGCACGGCGTAACTTTTGCCATGCCTGGTGAGCCCTTGGTGAGCCCTTGTTCTTGAGGTCTTGGCCGCCCCCAGCCCAAAGCAGTGCCAGTGGCGCGGCGCTCCCAATGATGTCAGGTGGGATGTGGGGTTGTGAGGGATGGTGGTATATTGATCGTATCGTATATTCCAATCTTGAGAATTGCCGCCGGTATGTCCGCTGCAGCGCTTGGAAAGTGCAGCAATGAGAGCTCTCTGCCAGATCCGAGCTTGTCCCAGCAGCCGGTGACCTTCCGAATGGTGAAGGCCCCCTCCCCGGAGTTGTCCGCAGAGGCCACCTCCCGCCCCATGCAGCTCCGTGCAAAGGCCATGCCGCTCCTGCTCAGCTCCTGCAGCAAGTGCCTGATCTCAGAAAGGGAAAGGAGCAACTACACTGGGGATTCTTGGGCTTTTGCAAATTCCAGGCAGCACTTTCCTGGAGTCAGGTTCTGCTATGTGGGCTTTCCTTTCATCTTCGGGATAATTCTGGTCTTCGCCGGCTGGGAGCTGCAGCCTTAGCTTGCCATGGGCGAGTTTGCGGGCTGTCAGTGCTCCGGGCCGAAGACTGATCTACTGCCCCGCATGTTTCTTAGACGTGGTGCCAATGGCTTTGAGGCACAGAGACAACGTTTGCCCCCGCAACTTGGAAACTGTTCTGCAGTTTGGTTTGCATGTAAAGCCTGGATACACAATGTAGTTCAGGTTGATTCGGCATTGTGTAAGGGCCCTGCGTAATTGTGAACGGTGACGCAGCATAGCCAAGGATGGTATTCTGATGTGGTCCGGCCCTCAGCTGCATCATGTCCTGGACCTCAGCACGCCGTGAGAGGTTTCGGCGCGATGAGACCAGCGTACGGTGTTAGCACAGCAACTGCAAGAGCGCTTTCCAGCGGCTTTCCAGCTCCTGACCACCTCGCACGGATGTGCCCCAAAAAACAATCTAAACCGCCAATTAGACCGAAGGTGTGAAGTCACCATTGTGACCCCGGTTCGGACATGTTGGTTAACAAACCTTTATCACTTGTAAATCCGGAGCCTTCGACTTGCCGGGCAATGCCAAAGACATGGCAGGTTTGGCTTCCTCGTCTTGGTGTTCAGTGGCTTGGCCTACGTCACGGACCCCAACGCGCGGCCCTGAATTCATGTGCAGCACTTGGACGTTGCTCAGGAATACTGGTGGCTAAGGCTGTCGTCGGTCGCATTGCAGTGCTGGTGATCCTCGTGGCCGGGAACTTGCGGAGTCTGGCAAAGTAGGAGACATGTTCACTCGGCCACAGACATCAAGTGATCTGAAGTGTTCTGCAGGTCTTGAATGTGGTTGGTTTTCTTTGGACAACCGACCCTGCGGTAGACAGGTCGGGGCCCAGACCGGATGTGGGGAAGGTTCCATGCAATTGAAGCATCTGCTCAGGAGAAAGGGCGCTTGTGGCATGTCACTTGTCTATTTCAGCTACCTTGCGGGGTGCTCAGCTGAATTTTGTCAAGGATCTTCTCTGGCAGGCTCTTGCAGCCTAGCACGTTTCTTCGCCCCGTCAGGTTTGGATCACAGTGCCAATTTGCAGCCTAGGCTGCAGCCAGCCTTCGTATGTAAAGTTGAAATGCGCATGCGACGACGGGACTACTGTACAGAACTGGTGCGATTGCACGCAGTACTGGTTTTTGACAGACAGATAGCACGTTGAAAACCCTACTACTGGTTTGCTGGTTGACGCGTCAGAAAGACGATCCAAGTTGAAAGTCAGCACAAGAGGCCTCGCCCCATGAAGCAAAAGACTGCAGACAAACGCAGGCTACCTGGGTTTCCTTGTTGCAACCCACGTCAAGAAGCTGCAGCGCAAGGCTGGAGTGTCTTTTGGCCTCTCAGCCGCCGTCGTGCGCCAGCTCGCCCGGTCGGGCCGCCCGGTCGGGCCGCACAGGATGAGCACCTTCAGAACGAGGTCATCGTCTTCTGAGCCCAGTCTTGGCAGCGACGGGACCCAAAGAGGTACCATGGTCCTCCTGCTGCGAAGAGATCAAAAGCATTGGCCGTTTGGATTCGTGTGCCCGTTAAATCGCATCCGGTGTGATGGGGTCAACTCATGTGTCAGGCGCTCGGGCTGTGCCCAGATTTCAATATCAATTAGCTTCATCCTGGAGTTGAAAGGAAAGTGTCGCCTTCGGATGCCATCGGTTGTTGTGCTTTAGTTCAGTGATCAGACGAGTCAGAGGGCCTTCTTTGGCAAATCGTACTATGAAAGCTGTTGTTAGCTTCAAGCTGCCTGGGCCCAAATGTCAAATGCCCCAGGCAACGCAGATAGTGAGTGCACCGCAAGAAGACTGAAGCCGGACGTTTTGCTTCGCACGCGTGGCTCTGGGGGCTTAGTTTTCCCCACTTCCCAGCGATTCAGAGGCTTCTCATCCAGGCTCGGATGGAGTGAAGCGTTGAGTAGTTCGTGTACGTAGACTACAGTGACCTACCTGCTAGCTATGAGTAGTTGGGTGGCGACGTTTCGTTGTAGCATCTCGCGACTGCAACGCGACCTGGAGGTATACGCGAAGATGGCCCGTGCTCGCCAAAATCCAAGATCTGCTGCTGCAGTGCTCTTGCACTACCACCCAAGCGTATCTTCCTGGAGAGCCTTGTCAGACATAGCAGAAAAAGTGCGCAGAGGTGGAAGCTCCTTGATCATTGCTGTTGCCCTGGCCTGCGCTTTGCTGGCCATCTCCTGAGCTGCCCGTAGGATTTGCACTTCTGCTGAAGCAGGTTTTCAACAAGGGGGGGCTTTCAGAGTTGAGCCCAGTGATTTCTGCACCTGCTTTAAAAAGGTTGATACCGTGGCAGCCCAGGCCTCTCGCGCGTTCGTCTCCGCGCCTTCAACTGCTTCCCGACCTTCGTCTGTTTTCAGTAACTAGCAGCTGCAGCATTACACAGGCGTGCGACTGAAGGCTTGTCAGATGTTGTTCCTGTAAAAAGACCATCTACTACATTAAGTTGCTGTATCCCAGGACTGCCAGAGGTCGATGTGGGTACCCCAGAAGAGGGGCGAACCAAGTTCATGCAACGAACCTACCCACGCGTACGATCACTTGCTCGGAGCCGCTCGGCTGCTGCATGCGAGCAGCCGGACAAGCACCGCAGAGTCCCTTGATCAGGCTCGGGTGCTTGGCGCCACCTTCGCCGGCCTCGCCCCACTAGCGGCCAGCAACTCAATTCAAAAAGGGTGATCTGGCTGACGTTGCAGCTCCGAGCCACGCGCAGCCGCTCGGGATTTGGCAAGGCCGCGCATGACTTGTAGTACTCTTGTAGTGATGAGAATCCACAGCAACCACAGCAACTTTACATCGGTTGCGGATAGTTTTGGCTGAGCAATGGCTGCGTCGTAAAACAGGTCGACTCCTTTAAGTATGACAGTTAGCTCGTGCTGACGGACTCCGAAAGTTTCCGGTCGCACGTGGTCGACAGACCACAACCGCATGTGGCTCTGAGGTTGAACAGCCAGCCAATGCCTATGACAGCGTGGTTGCCATGCTCCAGAGCTGGCTCGTAGGTGCGGGGACCTTGCAGAGGTGAGCATGGCTTGCAGCACCCCGCATGATCCCGCATGATGGAGGTGGCATCTCCCTGGTTCTGATTTATGGCGCAGCCCTGGTCGCTGCCGTCGCAAACCCATTGACGAAGAGGCACCTCGCAAACTCACGTCCTGATATGGTTGGCTCAGCGGCCGCGCATGATAGGACGTGGGCATGTGCAGAGCATTGTGGGGCAGTGGGAAGCACGAGGAAGCACAGTAGGTTCACGCTGCTGCCTGTTTAAGCTATGGGCAGGCGGCTGGAGGTCCGCGCCGAGGCGCGCGCCTTGTCGGACGCGAGACTCGCAAGCTCATGCAAGTCTCATCAACTCCCATTGCTGAAGGTGGAGGCCATGAAGTGAAGAAGGCCGCTGGTCAGCAGCAACCCTTGGTGTTGGCTAGCCTCGTGTAGCTTCGCATGGCTTCGCATGGCTTCGCATGGCTTCGCATCGCTTCGCATGGCTTCGCATCGCTTCGCATCGCTTCGCATCGCTTCGCATCGCTTCGCATAGCTTCGCATAGCTTCGCATAGCTTCGCATAGCTTCGCATGGCTTCGTGTTTCGCATGGCTTCGTGTAGCTTCGCATGGCTTCGCCCTGAAGCAGGACTCACAGGGTTTTTGTGGATGCCGGCATCTGAGTGTCTACGACGTTTAGGACTGCAGCTTCGGGACTCCTCTTTATACGATTTGTATACATCCTTGAGTTCTGCCAAGTCCTCGCGTCGAGATCGTCGAGATCGTCGAGGCAGCCACCCTGCCGGCCTCTGAAACTCATTGGCGCGGGCGGAGGCGGAGGAAAAAATTGTGACACTGCTGGCAGGGGCTGGGGCATGGGGCTGGGGGTGGCGGCGCGTGGCGGCGCGTGGCGGCGCGTGGCGGCGCGATCTGCAACGTAAGCAGTTGTTTTGTCATTCCCTGCTTTTTGCAAGACACCCGCCTGCCGTCTCGGCCCAAGCGCCCAAAGCTGTCGCTGTCCCTGCCACGCCCTTTCCTCGGAGCCCGCAGCTGAGTGCAATGAATGAAAGAACTGCAGGTGGTTCAATTTCCTGTGTGAAGATTCCCGAATGGCAAGGAATCACAACCAACATGGCAAGGAGCCAGGCCCCTACAAAAGTCCTGCGCATGCCAGGCATGCCAGGCAGCCGCAGATTCCCAGCAGACTGCTCGAGAATGCTCGAGGATGTTTCAGATGACCCCAGCGTTCTTCGTTTGCACACCCGGGCAAGGCACGCCACTCATCCTGCTGGCCCTCGGCGCATTGCTCGCAGCCCGCTTCCCAGCAGAGGACTGGCGAGCCCAGTATGATGAAGATCCGGCCTGCAAGTAGTGCTAGATGTGCTAGATGTGCTAGATGTGCTAGATGTGCTAGATGTGCTAGATACTCGTCGAAGCACGTGTAAGGTGCCCACCGGACATGAAGTGTCATGTAGTGGCAGTGGAGATTGAGCAGACAGAGGGAGAGGTGCGCCTTCCGAGGCTCCTTGGGCGTTCGTGTCCGCGCCGGCTGCAAGACGGGATGATGTGATAAGCGCAGTGTCGAAACAAACCGTCCCTGTAAGACTAGTTTCTGGGAGCTCGCTTATCCAGAGTCGTTCAGGAGCCGCGCCAGTTGAGGTTGATGTCGCCAGCTCAGTACATCTTTGAGTGCTCAGATACTAGTCTGATGGCATCACTGCTCAAGCTTCTGGAAGCCATTTGAAGCGATGGAGCTCCGGCTGACCTGAGCAAAGACCTTGAAATGCAGCCGTTGACTCCTTTTCAATCGCTCTCAGAGCAGAAAGCCTCTCCATTTGGAGGATTCGCCAGGCTTCGCGTCACTACTGCCTGCTCTTACTATGCACTACGCCGCTACTCTCCTTGCCTCTCCCGGACTTGAAACGAACATGGGCGACCCAGCCAGTAACGCAACTTTCGGCGAGCATGGGCAGGGGTGTAGTTTCTTTGGGGACAAGCTTGCTGAAATCATCACAATGCACTTCCGAATGCATACGGGCCGTGCTTGAGGGCCGTGTTCTTGCGGCCACCTTCGCCGGCCTGGCCCCGCTGGCCGCCTGGGCCCCACAAGCTCCGACGTTCGCTTCAGACATCTTCAGGTCGGCCCATGTCCGCCCTTGTCTGCCCATGTCGGTCCTGAGTGCCGAGGTCGAGCAGCCTGCCAGCGCCTACGACAGCGTGGTGGCCATGCTCCAGAGCTGGCTCGTAGGCTTCCGCTACTGCGGTCGATGATTCGAGGCACCTGATGGCACCGCCCAAAGCGTCTCTGCGTTCACCTCCAGGCGGCATTTCCCTGGTTTTGATCTACGGAGCCGCCTTGGTCGCGGCTGTGGCAAACCCCCTGACAAAGAGGCCACACGTGGCGAAGCAATTTGGGGGGTTAGTCGGTGGGTTTTTTGTCGCCCCCTGTGATTGTGTGGTTGCATGCAGGCGCTTGGAGGTGAGGGACCAGGCGCATTCGGCCGGTTCAGTTTGGTCTTGCCATTGGCGTCCGCAGGGGATTGCCAGTCTTGTCATGTCATGCCGCAAGTGTCAAGGTGGACGCCATGCGAAAGTGAGCTTGCAGGCTCGCGGTGCATGAGCTTTGGGGTGTTGCTAGCAGCAGGGTTCTCGGACACGCGTCTAAAGTTTTGTCATGTTTTGTCGAACACCTGGAAGTCGTCCAAGTTCAATCGGCAGTCAGATAGCAGTCAGAGCATGTTGACAATCGTTGGAGCTGTCGCTCATGTATGCCACTGGCTTACAGAGTTCTTGCTTTGTCGGACTGTCATTGGCGAGTTTCTGCGAGCAAGCCCGTGGAGGCTTTGCGGCACTTCGTGGCGGCCGTTTTTGTGCAGCTTCTCTGAACTCCTTTTCCGCTTGGCGCGCTCGAGCTCTGCAAGCTTGTGCAAACCTTAGGCAAACGGCCCGGCCGACCTTTCAAGGAGGCGTCCGTCGGGCAGAAAAGCTGAACGAGCTTCTGTCTGCATCAGCATCTTGCCTGCTGAGCATCCACTCTGATTGTCTGCTCACGACGAACGAGATTCGCACCGTGACTCATGGCTCCGCAGCCATCTCTTGGCTCGCACCGCATCCCTTCGCCGAGGCAGAACTTGTCGACATCTCAGTGCTCAGGTTAACTGCGCAACGCTCCGTGTGAGGGCCTGTCTGTATCCCAAGAATATCCATGAATGCAAAGCCTTTTCCGGACATGCCTTCCACACGAGCGCGAAAGTCAATCCTGCGCTCCTGGCTCATAGCCCCCGCCTGTGTTCAAGGGAGGTCGGCTCGCAAACAGAAATGAGTGTGCCAAAGAGTGGCATGGCAGAAGAGCTGTGCCAAACTCTTCGCAGACTGAGGTGCAACGCGTCGCAGTTGCCCTCGGCTGCGCCCTGCGGCACTCTGCTGGCTTGCATCAGCTTCCTGAGCTTAAAAAAGGAGCGCTGCGGGGTGCTCTGCGCCTAGGTCAACATCACCCGAAGTCTGTTCAGGCTCATGTCTCCAAAGAGTGTTCCGCTTCCCGTGCAGTGGTCGATACTTCCCAGGTGCTTCAGGCAAAAAAGAGTTTTGGGCCGTTTACGGGGGGGGGGAAGGTATGGATATCGGGGATCGAATGTGTGCATAGTATACTCCTGTTGTTTTTGGCAAATCGTACTCGGTATGTAGTGTGTGTTAATGACAGAGCTTGCATGGGTCGAGACGTGTCGACACGTCAGATGCCGCTTTCTTCCAGGCAACGCAGATAGTGAGTGCACCGCAAGAAGACTGAACCCGGACGTTTTGCTTCGCACGCGTGGCTCTGGGGGCTTAGTTTTCCCCACTTCCCAGCGATTCAGAGGCTTCTCATCCAGGCTCGGATGGAGTGAAGCGTTGAGTAGTTCGTGTACGTAGACTACAGTGACCTACCTGTTAGCTATGAGTAGTTGGGTGGCGACGTTTCGTTGTAGCATTTCGCGACTGAAACGCGACCTGGAGGTATACGCGAAGATGGCCCGTGCTCGCCAAAATCCAAGATCTGCTGCTGCAGTGCTCTTGCACTACCACCCAAGCGTATCTTCCTGGAGAGCCTTGTCAGACATAGCAGAAAATGTGCGCAGAGGTGGAAGCTCCTTGATCATTGCTGTTGCCCTGGCCTGCGCTTTGCTGGCCATCTCCTGAGCTGCCCGTAGGATTTGCACTTCTGCTGAAGCAGGTTTTCAACAAGGGGGGGCTTTCAGAGTTGAGCCCAGTGATTTCTGCACCTGCTTTAAAAAGGTTGATACCGTGGCAGCCCAGGCCTCTCGCGCGTTCGTCTCCGCGCCTTCAACTGCTTCCCGACCTTCGTCTGTTTTCAGTAACTAGCAGCTGCAGCATTACACAGGCGTGCGACTGAAGGCTTGTCAGATGTTGTTCCTGTAAAAAAAGACCATCTACTACATTAAGTTGCTGTATCCCAGGACTGCCAGAGGTCGATGTGGGTACCCCAGAAGAGGGGCGAACCAAGTTCATGCAACGAACCTACCCACGCGTACGATCACTTGCTCGGAGCCGCTCGGCTGCTGCATGCGAGCAGCCGGACAAGCACCGCAGAGTCCCTTGATCAGGCTCGGGTGCTTGGCGCCACCTTCGCCGGCCTCGCTCCACTAGCGGCCAGCAGCTCAATCGAAAAGGGTGATCTGGCTGACGTTGCAGCTCCGAGCCACGCGCAGCCGCTCGGGATTTGGCAAGGCCGCGCATGACTTGTAGTACTCTTGTAGTGATGAGAATCCACAGCAACCACAGCAACTTTACATCGGTTGCGGATAGTTTTGGCTGAGCAATGGCTGCGTCGTAAAACAGGTCGCAGTTAGCTCCTGCTGACGGACTCCGACAGTTTCCGGTCGCACGTGGTCGACAGACCACAACCGCATGTGGCTCTGAGGTTGAACAGCCAGCCAATGCCTATGACAGCGTGGTTGCCATGCTCCAGAGCTGGCTCGTAGGTGCGGGGACCTTGCAGAGGTGAGCATGGCTTGCAGCACCCCGCATGATCCCGCATGATGGAGGTGGCATCTCCCTGGTTCTGATTTATGGCGCAGCCCTGGTCGCTGCCGTCGCAAACCCATTGACGAAGAGGCACCTCGCAAACTCACGTCCTGATATGGTTGGCTCAGCGGCCGCGCATGATAGGATGTGGGCATGTGCAGAGCATTGTGGGGCAGTGGGAAGCACGAGGAAGCACAGTAGGTTCACGCCGCTGCCTGTTTAAGCTATGGGCAGGCGGCTGGAGGTCCGCGCCGAGGCGCGCGCCTTGTCGGACGCGAGACTCGCAAGCTCATGCAAGTCTCACCAACTCCCATTGCTGAAGGTGGAGGCCATGAAGTGAAGAAGGCCGCTGGTCAGCAGCAACCCTTGATGTTGGCTAGCCTCGTGTAGCTTCGCATGGCTTCGCATGGCTTCGCATCGCTTCGCATCGCTTCGCATCGCTTCGCATGGCTTCGCATCGCTTCGCATCGCTTCGCATCGCTTCGCATCGCTTCGCATCGCTTCGCATCGCTTCGCATCGCTTCGCATCGCTTCGCATAGCTTCGCATGGCTTCGTGTTTCGCATGGCTTCGTGTAGCTTCGCATGGCTTCGCCCTGAAGCAGGACTCACAGGGTTTTTGTGGATGCCGGCATCTGAGTGTCTACGACGTTTAGGACTGCAGCTTCGGGACTCCTCTTTATACGATTTGTATACATCCTTGAGTTCTGCCAAGTCCTCGCGTCGAGATCGTCGAGATCGTCGAGGCAGCCACCCTGCCGGCCTCTGAAACTCATTGGCGCGGGCGGAGGCGGAGGAAAAAATTGTGACACTGCTGGCAGGGGCTGGGGCATGGGGCTGGGGGTGGCGGCGCGTGGCGGCGCGTGGCGGCGCGTGGCGGCGCGATCTGCAACGTAAGCAGTTGTTTTGTCATTCCCTGCTTTTTGCAAGACACCCGCCTGCCGTCTCGGCCCAAGCGCCCAAAGCTGTCGCTGTCCCTGCCACGCCCTTTCCTCGGAGCCCGCAGCTGAGTGCAATGAATGAAAGAACTGCAGGTGGTTCAATTTCCTGTGTGAAGATTCCCGAATGGCAAGGAATCACAACCAACATGGCAAGGAGCCAGGCCCCTACAAAAGTCCTGCGCATGCCAGGCATGCCAGGCAGCCGCAGATTCCCAGCAGACTGCTCGAGAATGCTCGAGGATGTTTCAGATGACCCCAGCGTTCTTCGTTTGCACACCCGGGCAAGGCACGCCACTCATCCTGCTGGCCCTCGGCGCATTGCTCGCAGCCCGCTTCCCAGCAGAGGACTGGCGAGCCCAGTATGATGAAGATCCGGCCTGCAAGTAGTGCTAGATGTGCTAGATGTGCTAGATGTGCTAGATGTGCTAGATGTGCTAGATACTCGTCGAAGCACGTGTAAGGTGCCCACCGGACATGAAGTGTCATGTAGTGGCAGTGGAGATTGAGCAGACAGAGGGAGAGGTGCGCCTTCCGAGGCTCCTTGGGCGTTCGTGTCCGCGCCGGCTGCAAGACGGGATGATGTGATAAGCGCAGTGTCGAAACAAACCGTCCCTGTAAGACTAGTTTCTGGGAGCTCGCTTATCCAGAGTCGTTCAGGAGCCGCGCCAGTTGAGGTTGATGTCGCCAGCTCAGTACATCTTTGAGTGCTCAGATACTAGTCTGATGGCATCACTGCTCAAGCTTCTGGAAGCCATTTGAAGCGATGGAGCTCCGGCTGACCTGAGCAAAGACCTTGAAATGCAGCCGTTGACTCCTTTTCAATCGCTCTCAGAGCAGAAAGCCTCTCCATTTGGAGGATTCGCCAGGCTTCGCGTCACTACTGCCTGCTCTTACTATGCACTACGCCGCTACTCTCCTTGCCTCTCCCGGACTTGAAACGAACATGGGCGACCCAGCCAGTAACGCAACTTTCGGCGAGCATGGGCAGGGGTGTAGTTTCTTTGGGGACAAGCTTGCTGAAATCATCACAATGCACTTCCGAATGCATACGGGCCGTGCTTGAGGGCCGTGTTCTTGCGGCCACCTTCGCCGGCCTGGCCCCGCTGGCCGCCTGGGCCCCACAAGCTCCGACGTTCGCTTCAGACATCTTCAGGTCGGCCCATGTCCGCCCTTGTCTGCCCATGTCGGTCCTGAGTGCCGAGGTCGAGCAGCCTGCCAGCGCCTACGACAGCGTGGTGGCCATGCTCCAGAGCTGGCTCGTAGGCTTCCGCTACTGCGGTCGATGATTCGAGGCACCTGATGGCACCGCCCAAAGCGTCTCTGCGTTCACCTCCAGGCGGCATTTCCCTGGTTTTGATCTACGGAGCCGCCTTGGTCGCGGCTGTGGCAAACCCCCTGACAAAGAGGCCACACGTGGCGAAGCAATTTGGGGGGTTAGTCGGTGGGTTTTTTGTCGCCCCCTGTGATTGTGTGGTTGCATGCAGGCGCTTGGAGGTGAGGGACCAGGCGCATTCGGCCGATTCAGTTTGGTCTTGCCATTGGCGTCCGCAGGGGATTGCCAGTCTTGTCATGTCATGCCGCAAGTGTCAAGGTGGACGCCATGCGAAAGTGAGCTTGCAGGCTCGCGGTGCATGAGCTTTGGGGTGTTGCTAGCAGCAGGGTTCTCGGACACGCGTCTAAAGTTTTGTCATGTTTTGTCGAACACCTGGAAGTCGTCCAAGTTCAATCGGCAGTCAGATAGCAGTCAGAGCATGTTGACAATCGTTGGAGCTGTCGCTCATGTATGCCACTGGCTTACAGAGCCATTGGGATTCTTGCTTTGTCGGACTGTCATTGGCGAGTTTCTGCGAGCAAGCCCGTGGAGGCTTTGCGGCACTTCGTGGCGGCCGTTTTTGTGCAGCTTCTCTGAACTCCTTTTCCGCTTGGCGCGCTCCAGCTCTGCAAGACTTCTGCAAGCTTGTGCAAACCTGAGGCAAGCGGCCCGGCCGCCCTTCCAAGGAGGCGTCCGTCGGGCAGAAAAGCTGAACGATGTCTGCATCGGCATCTTGCCTGCTGAGCATCCACTCAAGGTCAAAGGTCAGATAGCCTGCTCACGACGAACGAGATTCGCACCGTGACTCATGGCTCCGCAGCCATCTCTTGGCTCACACCGCATCCCTTCTCCGAGGCAGAACTTGTCGACATCTCAGTGCTCAGGTCAACTGCGTAATGCTCCGTGGAGGGCCTTTCTGTAGCCCAACAATGCAAACTTTTTCCGGACATGCTTTCCAGACGAGCGCGCCAGATGTTCTGAAGTCAATCCTGTGAGTCGCGCTCCTGGCTCAGATCCTGCGGCGCACCAATGGCTCGGGTCCGCCTGTGCCCAAGAGTCCCTGAGTCCGAGGTCGGGTCGTGGGAGCTTAGGATCAGAGCTAGGTGCAGCTAGGTGCTGCTACTGCAGAGACGAGTGCGCAAACGAGCCGCCAGTGTTCTTGCAACTGTGCAACAGAGGGGGCGAGAGGAACTCTCAGGTGCAAGCCCACTGCTCGTTGCAGCGGCCCTCGGCTGCGCCCTGCTGGCTCGACCCTATGATGCTCTTGACATTAACTTGACATGCTCTTGCAGCATGAGTTTATATCTACCCGTATGGCAGTTTGTGGATAAGATTGCCCCCAGGCAGCTTGAACAGAGTGAAATGTGAAATCCTGTGGGAGATTGGGAGGGGGAATCACAAAGCCGTGAGCCAGATGTTGTGCCGCTGGCCGTTAATGAAAGGGCCTCCATCTGCAAAGTCACGCCGTTGCGGAGGTCTCGCGAGCCTTCGTCTGCGGGCCTTCTTCAAGACCGACCATATAGTGGGGTGCAGTGGTGTTCCCAGGGTAGCCTTCAGGAGCTACTCAAGAATACTTGCTAAGAAATAGCGGCTGCGCTGTGGAAGCCTACCCTTCAGAATGTGGGTTATACAAGTTCTAAAACTTCCTTCTGCAGAGATCAGCACCCACACGGACGGCACCTCCCAGAAAGGGATAGAAAGGGTAGCTGGCTTGAGCCGGTTCATGACGTTCGCCTTTCACCCCGTGTTCCACATTGCTTGGTTTAGGTTACTGCATTGAAAGGGTTGTTCTCGGACAGTAGAATAGGAAAATTGCCTTCAAGCGGTGTTGAGCCAAGTGGCGCCGGTGGTGGGGCCATCTTTGCTCGAGCCTTCTTTAAGTATGGTGCAAGCCTGTAAAAACCTTTGCAGCTCCTTGAATCGAACCCGAAGCCAAATACACTTGAGCCCTCTACGTCTCCCGCAAGATCTGTGGCCTCCCGGTTGCATGTCAGGAGCTGCGCCCCAGGTGGATGCGTGGGCCCCAGTGGTCTGTGCAGCTCTTCAGATCTGTTTTACCCGAAGTGGGGTGGTTGTTTGTTCCATTTTTGTTCCAAAGTCCCAAAGAAGAGGCACCGGCTTCAAAAATTCTCCGATTTCTGGGGGTGGAGGCTCGCGTCTTGGGTGCCACCTTCGCTGGGCTGGCTCCTCTGGCAGCCACGGACCCTGCTGGGCATTGAAAGGACCCCTCTTAAAAGCCTTGTGGGTTTAAAGCCAGGGCAGCTCGCATTGAGGTTGAGCAGCCTGCAAACGCCTACGACAGTGTGGTTGCCATGCTCCAGAGCTGGCTGGTAGGTGCGGCAGCTTGGATGGCCTCCATTCGGTTCTGTGAAATGATCTCCGTGCAGGCGGAATTTCCCTTGTTCTGATCTATGGAGCAGCCTTGGTGGCAGCTGTTGCAAACCCATTGACGAAGAGGCAGGAATAGGTTCTCAGTCAGGGTTTGATAGGGTTCGCATTGCGCCCGGCGACGTTAATGTTTTCGCGCTTCGACTTTAAAAACATGTAGCAATGTAGGCTTCAGTTACACAAGGGGGGGTCCTGTAAGGTTGTGTGGCTTTGAATGATGCAGGCGCCTCGAGGTCAGGGACCAGGCCGACACTACATCACAAGCGCTTCTGTTCGCTTGCGGTTCGCCCTCGCGGTTCGCCTTGCGGTTCGCTCTTGCGGCTCGCTTGACGGCCGCTCCTCATCTCCCATCAGCCCAGACTGGGAGCAGGTGGATGCCATGCGCAAGTGAGCAGTGAGAGCACAACCCTCAGACCTCGATGAGTCGATGAGCTTGCATGGCTTGCATGGCTTCAGGCCTCATGTGACACCTCATGACCTTGAGGCTCAAGGCATCACTGCGCGCTGCGCTTTTTAGCGACTTGGCTTTCAATGCCGCCGGGGCTCTTGCTGTGTCTATCCACGCTTAGCCTTGTGGCGTGGGATGAACCTCATCGGCTCGCGGACCAGTGTGGTCAATGTGCGAAGAATCAATAATGATTGAACCATGCGGACTCCAAGCTCCTCTTTCTCCCAGTTTTTTCTGCCCAGGACGGCCCTGGAGCGAGGGCAGAAAAAAGTCGGGGCCGTTTGCAGACATGCTGCAATGTTGACAATGTTGGTACGGCAAGGAAGGCTTGCGACGTGTGAACTCCTGTGAACCTGGTATTCTCAAGCTATTTTTGTGCATGTTGACAAGTCATGACATGAACCGAAAATCGAAAGCTTACAGTCTATTGCCAAAGTTGTGGAAAACCGAGTAAGACCAAAGACCCACCTCATGTGCACTTCACAGAAGATTGGACGAACGCCTTGCCCACACGGTGTGCACCATGAACTTCCCAGTGCCGTGGAGGGCTCTTTTACCGGCTTTGGCCCTGGACATGAGAGGTGATGAGAGGCGATAACAGAGGTGAAGTGCTTTGAGAAGCGAGTATGTCACCAATCTTGCTTTGGCCTCGCTTTGCTGAGCGAGGCTGATGCTGTGCCCACCTTCTCCGGCCAAGATGGACTTCGGGAGATTTGTGATGCTACAGGTGCAGGCAGGTAACCCCGAGAGTCCATTTCTGACAGCCTCTTGACGCTTCTTGGGCTTGCCCTCGCAGGTTGTGAGCTCTCAGGTGACGGGGACACGCCAGCGTCGCAGCTCTGCTGCAGGGGGTAGACACGGCGAGCAAGCGCCACAACATTATTAGTACAACCCAGGTCACAGTCGAACGCTGCATGTTTCTTTGAATCTCTTTGAATCTTCCGAGGCTGTCCGACAAGATCCTCACCATCAGTGGCAATGTGGAGCAGAAGGAGGCCGCTTCCGATCAGGTCTCCCCAGTTGGCTCTTCGCCTGTCCTGATCCAACACAGCTGCAACGACTCAGCTGCAGAAGCAATCAGCGACAGTACTTCGTGTCACTCGACTTCTGGGTGTGTCTGTGCTGGCTGAAAGCTGTGCTTCCTCCGGGCTCAGTGGGAGGCGGCCTGCCGGAGGATCGTCGACAAGCTGCGGGTGCTGCAGGAGGTGATCGACCAGGAGCAGAAACGGGTACATTCTTGGGACATCAGATGGGGAGGAGGGCCCCCTTCAAAGCCTTCTCTCATAAAACGCCCACTTTTTTTCATAAGGGTGTGGCTCTCTCTCACGGTTCTGTGACAGAGCTTGTGCGGCACGCAGAGGAGCCGGGAGTCTTCGTCATCATCGTCCGGGCCTCGGTGTGCTTTGGTGCCTGCTTCAGTCCCGCTCGAGCTTCTCTGCTTCATCTCAGGTGCCCTCCAGTGCCGCCCCCGCCGTGATCGGAAGCAAGGGTGCTCAGATCAAGGAGGCAGGCAACGACGGTCCACAATGCGATATCATCCGATATAATGGCGTTTTTTGCAGTTTTTCTGGAGTGTGTTGCTGCATTTTACGAGTCTCTTCTAGAGACCATGGCGGAGGTCATCGAGCTCAGCGGTGCAGAGGTCAGTGTGGCCAAGGAGAGCATCATAGGTGCGACAAAGTACTCGGCATGTTGCGGTCAGCATTCGGACGAAGTCCAGAGACGCTTGCAGACATGCCACAGGCATGAATGACCAACCAATTGGGGTTACCGGCACGGGTGGCGCAGGGCCCAGAGTTTTTTAGAGGATTTCGCAAGACTTTAGGCTCAATCCGGTCTGATCTGGTATGCTCACTGGTGCTGTTTTGAAAACCGAGCTTCGCGAGGTCAAGTGGTTTCTGCCGTCAGCAAGATCAATGCCATCCTTCAGGACTTGGCATCGACCCCAGTGGGCCTGGAGACATATATGTGAGGACCAACATATGAGGACCAAAATACGAGGGGGCAAACCCTTCGGTCTTCTTTCTGAGTTTTTTGGCTTCCTCCTTGTTTCATCATATCAACAGAGATCAGCCGTCCTTCTGGATTGAGACGAGAGACGAAAGAGCCAGAGCCTTTGCAGAGGCCGATCGAGGCAGGCTTCAGCCCACGGACTTCCGGTACCGCCCGGGAGCGCAGAGACCAGAGGACTCCCTTCTGCTTGGCACAAAACAAAAAGACAGGAGAACCCTTGTAGGAGTCCTGAGCATGCCGGAGCTGTGCTCTTTCTCTTTTCTCTTTTCTCTTTTATCTTTTCTCTTTTCTCCTTTCTCCTTTCTCCTTTCTCTTTTCTCTTTTCTCTTTCTCTTTCTCTTTTCTCTCTCTTTTTCTCTCTCGCTCTCTCTCTCTCTTTTTTTGTTTTTTCTCTCTCTCTCTCTCTCTCTCTCTCTCTAACCCACCCAGAATCTCCGAGAGGACTCTGGCGGCGCCTCTTTCGGAGCCCCAGGCCGCGCGGCACAGCCGACGGGAGGCGAGAGGCATGCGCGAGTCTCTCTCTTTTGATGTTTGAAGCCCGTGCATTTTTTTTTTGCAGGGCCCAGTGTTTCGTTTCAGGGGATGGTGTCAGGGATCGTCTCAGGCAATCCTCGCACGAACGCCAAGTTCGTGGTGGCAACCCAGGCTCCGCTGAGCGCTGTGCTGTCTCACACGAAGACTTGAAGACACGTTTGAGGAGAGATGGTGTTGGGACCTGTTGGGGCTGTCTCGCGCAGGTCGCCGGCTGGATCATTGGAAAGCAGGGCCGTCACATCCGGGAGCTTCAGGTGCCGTTCGCTTGGCCACACATTGCCATCTCCGTACCGAGTCGTATTGCAACTGCAAGGAAAACAGTGGGGCTCACATTCAAGTGCTCAAGGAGGGTGAGGCCGGGGGTGGACGGCGAATGGCGGGGCAGATGAGGTGACTTGATTCAACGATGGCGTGTGATGGCGACACGCAGTTGATCACAGTTGGGTCATGTCAACACTGTCCGTGCTGCTGTTGGAGGTTCCGCCTGGCGTTCCGGTAACAGACCGCATCGTCGAAATTGGGGGCCGGTTCGAGTCCAAGGCGGAAGGCCCGGCGTAGTCGAGTCTTTTTGCTGCCAAAGGTGCCATGGCCATAGCAGGTCAAAGTGGGAATGACAATAATGACAGAGTACAGCATTGCAGGCATCCAAATCATTCTCATAGCTGTTGACAACATGCCGGCGCTGTCTGTCCGGCCCTTAGCATTCGGGAGGCGTGGCGCAGCTCGCAGCTCACGCGGCCAGCTGTAGCCGAGGCTCCACGGGAGACGCTGATGCTCATCCCCAGACAGCTGACAACAGACTCCGAGATCAAGGAGATGGCCTTGACACATCTTGCCACCATGAGGGAAGGCTGTCCAGTGGCAGTAGTAGGTCAAGGGACATGCAGGGCTTAGCGCCTGTACACATCTACACATCACGGACCTGCACGGTGCAAGGCCAACAGAAGGATGCAGGCCCACTTGAACCCCCATTTGCCAGGATGTGCGCCAGATGTCAGGCTGCGAGATCGAGGTTCGCGACCTGCCTTCGCACGATGAGGCGATGCCTCTTGAACCCGTCGTCGATCTGATTCTTCAAGTTGTTCAAGCATCTCGGTTGCTGTAAGAAGATAGCGACCAGATAGTGGGGCCAGCGGCAGGGATTGTGCACGCTGCTCGGGAACATCGAGTCTCGCGTGAAGGCCGTCCTGTGACTTCGCCTGCGAGTATTGTGCACCTTTATGCCTGAGTTTGTATTACTTTGTATGTTGGTGCGACCTTCCAACGCAGGCCGCGCAGCAGTTCCTGAAACGCCTGGAAGAGGCCTGCCTCTCAGGATGACGAGGGGTGCCTCGAGCAAAAGCCACAGCATCTAGGAGGAAAACGAAGGAATTTGGAAGAGAGGAAAATATGCTGCAGAGAGCTCTGCTACATTCCGAATCTGCTCTCCTCTTCGAGGTCATGGCCGATGGCAGCGTGTCGCTGCCTGCCCCATCCTATGGAGCCAGGCGAATGCCCCTCACTCCTCCTTCACTCCTCTTTCTTTCAAACTTTCGGAATCTAGGAAAAGCCCTGTGCTTCTGAGAGACATATTTGCTTCTCCTGCGGATGGGGGGGGGGGGGCATGTTAACCTACTTTCGATTGTTTAAAAAGCCTGTCGAAGCTATGTCGACACATGGAGTTCGGGCTCGTCGAGCGTTTAGGGGCGGCTTAGGGTTGGGAAGTCGAACTCACGGAGTCCCATCGTTTTTAAGCGAGCATTCGAAGATAACAACCCAATTCCAAGCTTCCCAGCGCGGCACCCATCAGGGCCTCATTAGGGGGTTCTTGAGGTGGGAAACATGGGTCAGAGCCCCTTTTTGAGAGCTGCTTTCGCCCGGGTCTTCTATACTTCTTCTGGAGTGTGCCTACCCCAAGAGAATCCCGCAGAGAATTCCTTGGAGCGCCCACAAGTGAACCCTGCAAAGCAGCCCTCAAAGGGCCACCTGGGGTGTTCTGTACCCAGCTGTGCCCATGAAGTCAAAAGGTGTAGGGTGGGGGGGTGTGATGGAAGTAAATAACTTCTTGGGGCACCTTCTCTTGCAGTGACCGGTCATCTTGGCCAGGCCCTCTCCGGAGACCCTACCGGAGGCGTCACCTGATGCACTCACCATTAGCTGATAAACTGCAGTTTTGGCCCAGTCGAAGAGACTGCGGTACCGCGCTGTGGTTTATTGTGTGGCTTCTTGTGTGTTTTGGTGATGGATGTCGCTGTCTGATGTCTTGGCAGCGGTATGGCAACCCGTGGTGCTCTGTTGTCAAAGCGCACAGCGGCATCCCGGATCTGTTGCAGGGCTCCGATGTCTGGTCGAATCCCGCTCCGAGCGCAAAGGCCCGTGGACAGCTTCACAGTGGACTTCGGGAGATGGGAGTGGTTCTAAGCAGGGACCCCCCCCAGCCCTTCCCAACGGAGGGGACCTTCCAGATGGAATTCCATGATGATCAACGCATCTAGAATGTAAGGGGAAAAGCCTGGGGGATGGGGGGAGGGCAAAAACACCTTTGCGGGCCGGTTTTCAGGCCTCCATTTGGCCTCTTTGGGGCCTTTGTTCGTGTCGTTGGGTCCGCTGGTGTCCGATAATTAATCACATGCTGCTGATGCCGGCAATATGCCGGCCTTCCGGGCACCGTCTGGCGCCTTCCGTCACCTGGGGGCCTCATCTGGGGCCTGTAGCGCTGGGCGAACCGTGCCAGCCTCCACAGCAGACAAAGACTAAAGAGAGGTTTCATGTCAGCCCACGGCTTGAGAACAACCCCCAGATGTCAGGATAGCGGGATGTATGGGGCAAACGCGCTCTCATCAGATTGTTTCCTCAGCGGGGTTTTTCCGAGACGGTCATTGCATGGAAGGAAAGCTTTTCTTGAATGCGGCTTCTTGAATGTGAAATTGACGCAAGTGCACAGCAGGAGGATCCCTGGACGCGAGAGGATCCCTGGAGTCGAGGTAGGGACGGAGGCCAGACTGAGAGGGCTCCGAAGTTTGTTTCATGAACGTTTAGGGGCATGAGCTGCTTTGCCGGCAGGTGCAGCGACAAAGGCAGGAATTCTCGTGCATTTGTGGGTGCAGTGTTTCCTGCAGAGTAGAGGTCGTCAGTCTGGAGGAATCATATAGGGGGCATCTGCCTTTCTGACTGTTGTTGAGCTTTGACTCTTGCAAGCGGCTATTTTTGTTTGGGGTGGAGTGGGTGGGACAGTCTGAAAAAGAAACAGTTCCCAGCACGCTTTCGACCTCGTGTTGCCCAAGGCTTCACGTAGCTCGGCAATGTTAGGCATTGTTTGCTTCATTCAGGCAGGCTGGCTGGCTCTCAGTTGTCTGGACCAATGATCTGCTCAGGATAAGACTTTTGCTCATGCAACGTAGTTGAACTGACCAACTGTGCCCATTTGGTGTTGGGTTGTATCGATGTTAATGTCAGCAGAAGTTGAAGCTGCAGGTTTGCAACATCAAGTCACAAGAACCCCGGTCTCGGAAAGCAGATTCGGAGACTTGCTTCAAAGCCTTGCGGCAGGAACCTTCGAGCACCTTCGCGCCCAGCACCGATCTCAAGGCATGCGGCCAGAGAAACGCGTTAGCTTGCTCCAAAGTTGTTGCGAACTGGCGATGCCTCTATCGTAGCATGTGTGCCCCTAGGGTGAGGATTGTGTGGCTCCGTTTTGCATGCAAGGGCTCTCTAACAGCGCAAGGCTTCCCAACGCAAGTGCTTCTACCCAGCCCCGATGCACACCATCGCACCAACCCCCCCCCCTGCCACCCCCGATGCAAGAAGAAATAGGGCTGATGTAGAAATATTGGAAAGGAGGCCGGGGAGCTGGAAGTGGCTAATGCAACTCATGTCCAGCCCCCTGGGTGTTGCAACAGGCTGCCGAGCCTCGATCTGTCACCTTTGACAACAACCTCAAGGCAAAAGAACCGGCAACTGCATCGGCGCTTGCACATGATAAAGTCTATCCGCTTCGGTCCCTTCCCAAAGGCAACGTTAGCTACTAGGATCAGCCCAGTCCAGCCACGTCAATGGCATGGGCAGGTGACGAACATACAAGCCAGCTACGTCCAGCCCCGAGTTGACACCCATGCTCACCGTCTTCGTCTGCTGTGCCGAGTGCAGCTTAGCCCTAGGCTCGGGAGCCTGACAGCGGCGGGCACAGTTGGCCTGCACTTTGCGATAGAACTTGCCGTAGCGTTCGCGGGCAAGAAATTGGCGCTTGACTTTCTGAGAGCTCTCAGGCTTGAGCTTCGGCCCTGGCACCCAGGGTGCCCCTGTTTTCACTCGGCTCTCTGTGCAACTGCCGTGTGTCAGTGGCATGTATGTGACCTGGGGAGAGGCCACTAGTAGGTGCGGGTACCTGGCCCAAGCCCAGGTCCAAACGGGAGTGGAGGTGGTGCCCTTGGCCATGCGAAAATCCGTCCGGAGAAGCATGATCAGCAAGGACTCGCCATAGCTGAGGTTCGAGCAGCTTCACGCCGAACGGCCCCACAAAGGCCCCAGGCCCGTTCCTGACAGTACGGCAAGATGACGGCTACTCGCACTTGGTATCGGCAGGACTCAGCTTCAGTCCAGATGGCACTGCTGGTTGGGAGCCCCAGTGCAGAAGAGTGTGCAAGAAGGTGTGATGAGGTGAGTTTCGCATCCCACTGGCCGCATAAGGCACGCAAATGAGCTTTGCACCTGCAAGCGGAACCTCAGCTGGACCCGAGCCCAGACTCGCCTCTGGACGCTGATCCAACGTGCGTGCAACACATGATGCAACACAAGGGATGCGTGCTACCTGAAGTCATCGTTGTGAGACCATGTGAGACGTGGAACAAGCTGGCGAGGCCCCCAGATGAGCTTCGCTCCGACTGGAACCTCCTCGGGAAGTGGCACAGGCCAGTAGGGCACCGCCGCACCTACAGCGCACAACTATTTACTGCAGTCAGATGCCACCCGGGGCTAGGCGTGCAGATGAGCTTCGGCCCGAACGGAAGCAAATCCGGAGGCCAGGTGCTCGCTTGGACAATGGACCGCATCGTGCCATGTTCCGTGTCATTCAGCCAGGGACAGAGCGCACGGGCGAATGCAACTGAGGCTCCGGGATGAGCTTCGCTCCAAACAGTGGAGCGTCAGGGCCAGGCACTGGCGGGGGCCCCATCGGCGCAACTGTGCGAAGGGACAACGAGTGCGCGAGTGTCAAAACAGTGTCACGGGGTGTCGTGGGAGGGTGATGGAGGGTGCAAAGATGCCAAGATGCAGAGGTGCTCAGATGAGTTTTGCCCCCACTGGCGCGACTTCGGGAGTCTCCGCAAGCGGCCGCGGCCTCAAGTGGCCCATGTGGCCCCAAATGGCCCCGCCTCGATCTGTTGTTCGAATTGTTCTGGTTGCTTGACATGCCCAACTTGACACCTGCATGGTGCCATTGGCGACCTGTAGCGGGACTACAAGTAAGGGGGAACACAGGTGCCATGAGTGTGTGCGTAGTTATATCTTATGACTTTGACAGCCAAAGTCAGTCCCATACTCACCGCGCAGTCCACCTAAAGTTACAGTACCTTTCAGAAGCTTCGTGATCACTTCCAAAGCCTTGGCGATGGACGCTGACGACCAGCCACGGCGCCGACGGGACGTGGAGGGCGGCAAAGAGCTGTCTCGCAAGGCAGGACTTCTTAGTCTTCTTGCTGGTTGTCCATGCCACCTCAGTCAGAGAACCGAGCTCCACTGAGCGCAATCTGGGCACAGGAGCGCGTGCGGCAGCTGCAACGTGAGTGTTTCGAAGGCAGTTATGCAGTAGGAGGTCGTTTTGTTGTGGAGGCTGGTACTTGACATGTCCATGGCCAGCTTTCAACGACTTTGCCTAAGGCATGCCGAGCAGCAGGCAGGGGAGCCCATCTTACTTCTGGTGTTGCTTGGGGTCTTTGCCCTGATCTTCATCGGTGCGTTCGTCTTTGCCATCCGAGTGGCGAAGAAGGGAGAATGACAACCAAAGGCTAAGGGGACGTCTGTGATCACGTGGAGCAGGTGGAGCAGAGTGGGGAGGGTGGAGCAGTGAGGACGCCACGCCGGGCCAAGCTAAGCCTTCTGAAGCAGAAGTTGGCCAGCGCCCAGTCCGAGTAGGTCTCTACGGCGAAGCTTTGTGAAGCTACCAAGCTCTTGCAGGCATCCGCGCAAAAAAATCAACATGGACCGACATTGTACGTAAGTGCCACCCCTGTAAACAACAGCTGGAGGCATTCTGCCTCCACCACACATTGGTAGTTCTTTTCGTCGAAGATGCATGGTTCCGTTTTCACGCAAGCACAGTTTCTGGGCAACTGGACTCAGGCCAGGACCCTCCAAAGCATGGAGTGGAGATGAGCTTCGGCCTGGCACCCTTGGATCCAGGGTGCAAGTTCAGAACAAGGCAAGACACGCTAATGCGCACAGCAAGGTGTGTGATGCGTGTGCCAGTGGCATGTATGTGACCTGAGCAGGGGCCGCTAGCTGGTAGGACTCCGTGCCCAAGCTCAGGTCCAAACGGGAGTGGAGGTGGTGCCCTTGGCCATCCGATTGCTGAAGTGCGAAAAGGCAGGTTGCGGTGTGACCGGCATAGTGACGACCACACCATCAAAATACCTCCCATCACCTCCCATCACGTCACGGTCAGAAGCTATCGTGAAGATGTCCTCTCAGCATCCGTCCGCAGAAACATGATCAGCCAGGACTAGCCATAGCTGAGGTTCGAGCAGCTTCACGCCGAACGGCCCCACAAAGACCCCAGGCCCGTTTGCATTCCTCGCTTCTGCCTCGGTTCTGGGGAGAGTCTTCAGAGTCTTCGCCTGACAGTACGGCACGATGACGGCTACTCGCACTTGGTATCGGCAGGACTCAGCTTCAGTCCAGATGGCACTTCTGGTTGGGAGCCCCAGTGCAGAAGAGTGTGCGAGAACTTGTGATGAGGTGAGTTTCGCATCCCACTGGCCGCATAAGGCACGCAAATGAGCTTTGCACCTGCAAGCGGAACCTCAGCTGGACCCGAGCCCAGACTCGCCTCTGGACGCTGATCCAACGTGCGTGCAACACATGATGCAACACAAGGGATGCGTGCTACCTGAAGTCATCGTTGTGAGACCATGTGAGACGTGGAACAAGCTGGCGAGGCCCCCAGAT